GGTCTCGATCGGGCGATGATGTCGCGTGGAGGGAGAACAGCCTGTCGCACACGGCAACAAGTTGGACTTGGAGGGCCGGAGTACTTTTGGATTCGATGGGAAGATGCCGCAAATGGCAGGCAGAGCAGAATGCAGGACAAAGAATGAGGCGGGCGAGGCACGGTCTCGAGGGAGCGTACGAATGGCTATGCGTGGGGATGGGTGATGTTGAGGGGGGAGACCCTGGGCATCTATGGATCTGGGATGCCCTTTTGAGCCCACCGCAACCTTGGGGAGTGGGCAGCTCGTCCGTCCGTACTCTTACTCGTATGGATGGACACTACTCGTACAATCAATACTAAATTACGGTAGGGGCGGCTCCGGCACACCGCAGCTCAAGCAGCGCAGATGATCATGCAAGCGCCTGGGAGCAGACGCGTCAGAACAGCAGAGGCAATGGGGGGCTCCTCACGTCACCGGCTCGCCGCTCGTACGAAAGTTCGCAAGCCCACCGCATCCGCCCCTGGCGTGGTTGGGGGGGGGGGTGGTGGTGACTCCGGGAGCGCTGGCGGGACACACGACACAACCTACACAGGCGCCCACTGGGCACCCCGCCGTAGGCTGTCAACCTGGAAGGCTGTGTTGGGTTGGGCCCCGGGTGGCTCTTCCCTGTTCCCTGCCCTGCCCTGCCCTGGTTGCCGCTGAGGTCATTGCCCGCGATGGAGTGCGCGTCATGCGCGCTGGCCCGCGTTGCCTGCCCACCACCACCAAGCAAGCGGATCTTTGTTCCCCCAGTCCGGCCTCCTTACCTAGGCGAGTTGGCTGGGTGGGAGGAGAGACGGCTCCGCATCTCCATCCATGGAGCTCCACCGCGATGCGCTTACCTGAGCACTTGCTTGGTGGTGAGCTGCGGCGAGCCGGCCTGGCGCACTCAGCTGCCCGGTGGCGATGATCCAGTGATTCCAGCTCGTCGCTTACTACCCTCGTCCCGGCGTCGCGATAATTCACTCCGCATTGCTACGATACGCGGTCGACTCGGACTTTGTTGCAACTGATCCAACCTGCGCAGCTGCAGGACTGGTCTACTACTCGACACCACGCCTACCATCTCCTCTACATACCTCCGCGCTGGCCCAGCTACTTTGGAAATCCAAGGCGGCCGCAGCTCCGGACGGTTCGAGCTGGCCACCTCCGTCCCGGCCGCCGACGATGACGCAGCCTCCGGGCCAGCCGGGCCTGTCGCCGCAGTTCTGTTTCTCTACTGGAACTCTACGCGGTAAGTCTACCTCGTGCATCCAGCCGCCGGCGCCGTCGATAGGTGGGCACTGACACGCGGCTGCGCCAGACTTTCTGCGGCTTTCGAGGTCATCCATCGACGACTCTATCGCGCAGAACCTCAACGCCCTCGTGACACCTGCAGAGACAGGGTTTGATCCGCGGTCGACATCCCAGCGCGCTCCGCCATCCGCCTCCCGCGAAATAAACCCACGGGCGTGCCAGACGTTCAAAGAGCGCGTGCTCTTCCCGTCATGGCAAGCCCGAGCTGAGGTGCTCAACTACTGCGGCATCGTGGCCACGAGCCCGGACCCAGACGACCCCGAGGCGGCGCTGCGGGAAGTGGAAAACCAGCGGGATCGGGAGAGGGTTGTGGACGAGCGACTCGACCCCTACTCCGGGAGGTTCTTCCCACGGGAGCCCCGGACGGAGACTCTGGCCATGATCGTGCGCCAGGAGCGAGGCGTGGAGAACATCGTCCGAAGCCGCACATGGGAAGTGGTCCAGCAGCGCTGCGCCGCGCCGCATGAGCGGTGGGAGGACGCCGTCGCGCGATGGAGCGACGAACATCACACAAGCAAGCCAGGGCCTGGCCGGTGATGAGAAGAGCCGACAGCAGCGCAGGTCTGTTTGAGTAGCAGCCGTTATGGAGCGGCGAGAGGAGTTTTGGGAGTCCGCGATAGGGATCAAAGGAGGATCTATGAAGCGAGTATTTGTTTTGGCTATAGACATGTCATGTCACCTGTACATTAGCAACCGTACCATACCCGACTATTATGTATACGAACCATCATGCCACTCGCATCGACCTCTGTTCCGTGCCACTTACAACAGCTGGCGGGGCCAGCAATCGCCATACCCCATTGCAGACAGGCGCAGCCGCGTTTCGCTCAAGACTGATGCGTGAAAGGCCGTCGGCAACCGCTTTTGCGTCAAGACAGACGGTGTACACGATGGAATGCTTCAAGTAGCATTGGAGGAGCTGGCGGGGAGGTCGCGTGTAACAAGGGGGCCGACCTGGCGGGACCCCCACCAGTGGCCGGAACGGCAGGTACGAAGTAACTAACTAATAGTCGCCCGAGTTACTCCATACTCGCACAGCCTAAGGCCCAAGGTGGCATGAACAAAGTAGTGGAAGAACCCAACTCCGAGGATCCGCCGGTTCCAGGCGCACGCCAGCTTCGACTCTCCAACGACTGTGCATCTTTGTTTTCTCGCGCAGCTTCGTGGGACCAGTCGCTCGAGCACACGAGGCGCAATACCATCTGTTGGGCAATATTGAAAGCTCGGGGCGTCGACTCCAATTCCGCTCCCTCCACGCACGGCCCACCCTCCTGCCCCGGCAGAACCTCCAATTCCGGCCTCGTCCTTTGCCCACACCACGACACCATCGCACACCTGGCCGAGCACGCACCCGCACCTGCACCTGCAGCCCGCCAACCAGCTCGAGACCTTCCGGTCGACCTCGTTCCTTGAACCCTCGCACCGGCCCGGCCCCGTCCCCCGACGCTCACCGTACCGCACCTTATCGACCCTTCCCGTGCCGCCGCCACGATGCCGCAGCCGCTGCCGCCCAAGGAAGCGGCGCAGTTTCGGACCGTCATCCGAAGCTATGAAGACAAGCAGTACAAGCGCGGCCTCAAGACCGCCGACCTCATCCTCAAGAAGATCCCCAAGCATGGCGACACCATGGCTATGAAGGCCCTGATCTTCAACGGTCAGGGCAAGACGGACGAGGCCTTTTTGCTGGCCAAGGAGGCCCTGACGGTGGACATGAAGTCACACGTCTGCTGGCACGTCTACGGCCTATTATACCGCGCCAACAAGAACTTTGAGGAGGCCATCAAGGCGTACAAGTTTGCGCTGAAGCTGGAGCCCGACTCGCCCCAAATCCAGCGCGACCTCGCCATCCTCCAGGTTCAGATGCGCGACTACCAGGGGTACATCCAGAGCCGCACTGCCATGCTTCAGGCGCGCCCCCAGCTGCGACAAAGCTGGACGGCTCTGGCCATCGCGAACCACCTCGCCGGCAATCTCTCCGAGGCCGAGAACGTCCTGACCACCTACGAGGGCACCCTCAAGACCACGCCTTCGCGCCACGACATTGAGCACTCGGAGTCCATCATGTACAAGAACTCCCTGATCGCCGAGCAGGGCGACTACCAGCGCGCGCTGGACCACCTCAACGGTGACGCCAAGCAAAATCTGGATCGCCTGGCCGTTCTCGAGGCCCGTGCAGAGTATCTTAGCAAGCTCGGGAGGAAAGACGAGGCCGCCAAGGCGTACAGGGCGCTTCTCGACCGTAATGCGGAACACCCTGACTACTACGAGAAGCTGGCTGCCGCCCTGGGTATTTCAGAGGAGGACCACACGGCAAGGAAAGCCATCTACGACGAATACGTCAAAAAAGCACCCCGCAGCGATGCTGCCCGGCGCATTCCGCTCGATTTCCTCCAAGGTTAGTTGCCAATGTCCTTTGCCTTAATTCCGCGCTGACCGTCGCCGTAGGAGACGCCTTCAAGCAAGCCGCCGACGACTACCTGACGCTGATGCTCAACAAGGGCGTGCCTTCAACGTTTGCGAACCTGAAGCACCTGTACTCCGATTCCTCCAAGAAGAGCACGCTCAAGGAGCTGGCCGAGAAATACCTGACGTCTCAGTCATCCGACTCGGCAAGCAAGGACAAGGGCGAGGCCGCTGGGCTGTACTATCTCGCGCAGCACTACAACTACCACCTGAGCCGCGACTTGAACAAGGCAACGGAGTACATTGACAAGGCCATCGAGAAGGATCCGAAGAGCGTGGACTTCCACATGACCAAGGCCAGGATATTAAAGCACGCCGGTAACCTGCAACAGGCGTCCGAGATGATGGATCGCGCTCGCAAACTGGACCTCAAGGATCGGTACATCAACAGCAAGGCCGCCAAGTATCAGCTGCGTAACAACGAGAACGAGAAGGCACTCAAGACCGTTGGTCTGTTCACGCGGGCGGAGACGGTGGGGGGTCCTCTTGCGGATCTTCTGGACATGCAATGCATCTGGTTCCTGACGGAAGACGGCGAGGCTTATGCCAGGCAAGGCAACATTGGCATGGCCCTCAAGCGGTTCCACGCTGTCGGAAACATCTTCGACGTCTGGCAGGAAGACCAGTTTGACTTCCACAGCTTTTCCTTGAGGAAGGGCCAGATCCGGGCGTACATTGACATGATGCGATGGGAGGACCACGTGCGCGACCATCCCTTCTACTCGCGCGCGGCGCTGGACGCCATCGGTATCTATCTCAAGATGGCCGACAAGCCGTCGGCGAACGGCGTCAATGGGGCCGACGACGACAACAGCGAAGACGCACTGGCGAGGAAGAAGGTGGCCAAGAAGGCAAAGAAGGAACAGCAACGCTTGGAGCGGGAGGCGGCAGAGAAGCAGGCCAAGCAGGACCCCAACAAGTCCTCCCAGACGGGCGAGCCTAAGAAGAAGGACGAGGACCCGCTTGGACTGAAGCTGGCCGCCACCACGGATCCTCTTGGCGAGGCCATGAAGTTCCTCGAACCCCTGCTGCAGGCGTGCCCGAAGAGCATCGAGGGTCAGGTTGCTGGCTTCGAAGTGTACATGCGACGCGGTAAGTCTTGTGTATCCGATGCTGGCAGAGCGGCAGAGTGCGTGGCTAATCATTATACGACAGGGAAATACGTGTTGGCGCTGCGCTGCCTCAACAACGCTCTGAGTCTCGATGCGACCCACCCCAGGGTTTACGAGCAGGTGGCTGCGTTCAGGAGCTTGCTCAACTCTTCTCCCGACGTGGCTCCCAAGGCCGCCGAGGTGCTGAAGACGCAGTTCAAGGCGGTGGACGAGTCGACCAGCTTGAGCAAGTATATTGAGCAATTCGAGGCGCAACACAAGGCGAGCCCCCGCCACGCGCTGTCGGCCATTGCGGCCAGGAGGAGCATCGGGGAAGACAAGGGCAAGTGCGACAAGCGCGTCGTCGATCTGCTGAGCATGGAGGGTGTGTCCTCTTCGGACGCAGTCGAGATGCTGGAGAGGCTCAAGGGCTGGAGGAGTCCGGCAGTGGCGGACTTCAGAATCGCGGCGCAGGCCAAGTGGCCCGAGGTCACACGGCTGGCTTGAATGGGACGGGACGACGGGGCAACGGACGGGTTGGGTTTGGGCGGACCGGATCAAAAAAGAAGGGCGACGGGCCGCTGGGGCGCACTCTTTGGGCGGCATGGTTGGCGTCTTGAGTTGAAAAGCATTTCCGAAGCGCTGTTGTGTCGTGGACGGTGTATATGAGGCTCCGGGCGTGGTGCCGCCGGGCATAGTACCTCGGAGCATGTAAGTGCCTACTACCTTACCTTACCTAGACGGGTGCCGCCCAGGCCTGGGGAGGAATGCGAATCATGTGTTGACGAGTGACGGGGGAGTGTAGAAGAGTCTTGTATCTGGAGTATCGGCCGTGGTGACGGGAGGGGCGAGTCGACGAGCATATAGACAGCTAGATGGTAAAGGAACAATGTCGAATATTGCGGACGACACCCTTGACTGCATCCTCTCAAAGTCTGTAACACGGCGTGAGGTGGGTGAGCATCACCTACGTGGCAATTGGCCCCATGGACCCAGCAGTCATGCTGAGAGGGGCCGGACGGAGGAAAGGCTCCCGTGCCAGACGGGGGGCAGCACAAGGGTGAGATGGGAGGTCTTGCCCAGCGGCCACGCTTGTGCAGGGTGGTGGTGTAACTGGACAGGTGTAGGCGGCGAGTATAACGCATCAGGTGGAAACACGGGATTCCGGTCTAGCCGACCGGCCATGCCGGGACAGGGTGAAGGCTACGGCTGTCGCATCTCCATCTGTGGGTTCCCGTCGCCATCACCCAAGCCGTCCCCGGCCATAGAAGCAGTGCGCCTGGGTCCGTGGGAGAAGGAGGCGCGCCAATGGACAGGCAAGGCAAGGGGTAATGATCGGATGCTCAACAATCTATGCAGGCATGGCCAGTGAGGACTGAAGTTCGGGCATTAATATCCTTAGCTCACGATACGTTGCGGGTCCGATGGGGGATAACGCGACTCTCCGAGCTGGGCTGGTGACACGCATCACCTTCATGGACGGCCTCGGGGTGGTGGTGTCTCTCTTTTGGCACGGGCAGTGCGGCTTCTTCACCTGAGCCAGCGGCTCATGGGCCTGAGCAGCGTGGCTGTAGTTGCAATTGTTGCCTAGGTACATAATAGGTGTGCCATGGAGGTGGGGGACCTTCCATACCTAGTAGGTACGAGGTGAAGCTCTGGAACGGTAGCTGTGAAGGCCAGACAAGTTGCCATCGGTCCCGGCCTCGGCGACTGCCTTTAGGACGTACCTACAGACACACGAGCACGAGCCGCTCTCCCTCCTCCGTTGGTGGACGTACCTACGTTCAGGGTTCCTCTGTCCGCTAGACCGAGCATGGCTGACGGGCTTCCAGGTTTTGTCCGGGCAGCCGAGGCCCCTCTGGCGAGCCGCGACAGGGCCATTGATAGGGAAGGTGTATGATGTAGGTAGGTAGAAAGGATGTCTATTGTCAAGCTCCACAGCGCACCCGCGCGGCGCTCGGCGGGGGCTTGTTCTGGGTGGAACCGCCCGTGGACGGGCAGGGAACTTGGCCATCCAATGCAGGCGGCATGCATGGCTGTCTCCTCAAGCCAAGGTGCCTGCACACGTTTTCTGGCCCCGAAGCACCTACCACGGAGCGGCCCTGGAGCGGTCCTGGAGCGGCCTGTATTCACAACGGCGTCGAAGCGGTCCGCGCCACCCGGACCCCAACTTGGAAGCCCGTTGAAGGTACTACGTAGAGGTACGAAGTACAGCGGGTGCGTGCTCGCATGCGCGGGCTGCGTGCCACGGGCGGGTGCGCCCACGGATTACCTAGGTGCCCAGGTGGTTCTACGAGCCTGGGCTAGGGCCGGTTGGTAGGTACCTTTAGCAGGGGAGGGACCCCCCTTTTCCTTCCAGCTCCTCCCCGGAGGCCCTGGGGCCCTGAGTGCCCGTCCTTGCCGTACTAAGTCGTAAGGTACCTTACCTGACAAGCGGCGGGTCCCCCGGCGAGTTGCTGCAGCTCGGCCCCCGAAAACGCGAAACCCTCGACGTCGATTCCTTCCAACTTGGCAGCTTCAACATTACGTTGTCGCTCGCGTTGGGCCCGGCCAGCTTCTTTTTTGACCTTGCCCTCCTCTGTCTTGTCCCCTGGCTGCTCCGGGTTGCATTGAAGGGTACGGGCACGTGCGAGCGTCTCGCCTCCCCTTTTAGGCTACCTGCCCTGCCATCCTGCCGCGCTTCGACGTTGACTGCCCGGGGCTTCCATTTTCTGTTCCGACCTTGCCTCGCCTTACCTTACCTTACCTTACCTTACCTTGCTTCCGTGCACCTTTTGTTTCTCTGCCCTCCTCTCTTGTGGGAACTCACTTTCCCCTGTCGCCGCCTTGTGCAACCCTCCTCCAGCTACTGCACCTCTTCCAGCCAGCACCAGCAACGTCGGGTCGCCTGCCGCGGCGCACCGCATCGCGCGGCGCATGTGATAGCTTTGCCTCATGGAGACCCAGCAGCCCGCCTCCGCTGTCAACGGCCGCAACGGACACGCGAGCCCGACGGCCAACGGCGAGAATGGCACCCCGCGCAATGTCAACGCTGCCGTGCGTCTCGTCCTCCCCGGCGGCCGCACCCTGACCGTTGCCGAGAAGCACCTCGTCATAGCCGGTATGTGTCGCCTTGCCGTCATGGCTCTAGAAATGTTAAAAAGTCCTTGGTTGCTGTTGGCTGACACCCGCCTTCCAGAACCTCCAGCCAAGAAGAAGCAGCCCAGGAGTTCTGCGTGCTGCTTGATAGCGACAGGTAATTGGACATCCTTGAAGAAGCGCGTGCAGGACACACCCGCTCATGCATGCGCCGCATGCTCGCAGATGCATCCGGGAACAGGCTTGTTCCGCTCTACAACATTCTCTGGGCCGGCGCCACGGGTCATCAGCTCCAGATAAGCTACGCGGCGCAGCCCTCCAAGACTTCCATCAAGCTCGAGACGTGGACGTTTGACCTCGATGCGTCGGACCAGCCGCCCGCTGATGGGTCCACGCCCGACGATTTCGCATCTAGCCTCGTCTCCCAGGCTTATGGCGATGCCCAGCCACAGAAGCGGGCGTATGTGCTCATCAACCCCAACGCCGGGCCCGGAGGGGGCTTGCGCAAGTGGGAAAGACATGCGAAGCCACTCTTTGAGGCGGCTCGGATGCACATCGACGACGTCGTGCTCTCCAAGGGAGGCGAGGCCGTTGGCCTGGTCGAAAAGGCCGACATCGACAAGTACGACACCATCGTGGCCTGTTCGGGCGACGGCACACCCCACGAAATCTTCAACGGCTTAGCCAAGCGCCCCGACGCCAAGAGGGCACTTTCCAAGATCGCCGTCAGTCACATCCCCTGCGGCTCGGGCAACGCCATGGCCTGCAACTTGTATGGCTCCCACCGTCCCGCCCTCGCTGCCCTCGCCATCATCAAGGGGGTCGTGACGCCTCTCGACCTCGTGTCCATTACCCAAGGCGATCGACGCGTGATATCGTTTCTCTCCCAATCCCTGGGCATCATCGCCGAGAGCGACTTGGGCACCGAGCACCTCCGGTGGATGGGCAGCAAGCGTTTCGATTTTGGCGTCATCACGCGAGTCTTCCGCCGAAGGTGCTACCCGTGCGACCTGGCAGTCAAGGTTGAGGTGGAGCAAAAGGACGGCGTCAAGGAGCACTACAAGCGCCATGCCAGCGACGCGAGCCTCCGGAAAGCGTTTCTGACGCCCAACGACCAGGACGGCGAGGGCGGGGGTGAGGGCGAGGGCCTACCACCTCTCAAGTACGGGACGGTCCAGGATGCTCTGCCCGAAGGCTGGGAACTGGTGTCCTATGACAAGATTGGCAATTTCTACTGCGGAAACGTGAGGGACCCGGACCTGTCTGCGCAGTCACGGCTCGCATCCCCCATGGCTAACAGGACGTCGCAGATGGCCTATATGGCGCCGGATCTCAACTTCTTCTCCGCAGCGGTCGCGTCGGACGGCTGCATGGATCTCGTGACGATAAACGGCGATCTTTCCCCGGTGACGGCAACCAAGACGCTCATGTCGGTCGAGACGGGCAAGTTCTTTGACAGCCCGCACGTGGCGTACAAGAAGATCTCGGCATACCGCATCATTCCGCGGGACCAGGACGACGGATACATCAGTATCGACGGCGAGCGGGTTCCATTTGCTCCCTTCCAGGCCGAGGTGCATCAGGGACTTGGCCGAGTGATATCGAAGCGCGGCGGCTACGAGGCACTTGGTCCGTCCAACTGGGACACTGTCACGGTGGCGGAGCGGCTGCACGCCTGATGGTCTGCGCATGCCGTTGCTGTTGTTGCCTTGTCGAGCGTACAGCTTGCGATGAAGTGAAGCGAGTGTTGTGATACCCACGGTTGCGCGGATGTGTGGCGGCCAAGACGTGTGGAGCTCTAGACGGTACACTATATCCGATAAACCTAGAGAATGCGGACAGGCTCGTTGATAACAATCTGCGATGACTCGACTCCCTCTGACTTCGAGATGCCGCTCATCATTGTCGCCGCGAGTCCATGTAGCCAAGTTGCGCTGTAGTGAACTTCAAGGCCGGGTCCCGGTCGTGCTCTACCTACACCCCGGGGACACAGGTACCTACGTAGCCTGCAGGTGTAAAGCTCGCCGTGGGGCGGCGATTAGATAAAGCTTCGAGGGAGAGGGCGGCGCCAACGCCCACTGTAATGCAGGCCGCCAACGTCTACTGCAGCCACAAACTCAACGTCGTCTCGGCCCGCACGTCTAACAACGGTGGACAACGCGGCCAACTGCACCGACTGCCGCTCTGCCACTCTGTATTGGCGCTCATGCAGGCATGGTGGTCGCTGGCAGCTGAGAGAGGTGATGCCAAACAAAGGCGCCAAGATCCCCTCGGGGCCATGGGGGAGGCTCAAGCCCGTTGAGCAAGATCCCCTTGAGAGCTTCGGCCTGCCCTCCAAGGGAGACACGCGGTAGGTACACCAGCGGCCCCATCGTCGAGATACGGATGTCGGCCTGCTTCCTTGGCGCTGACGGTGGCGATGCTCGAGGCTCCTCGACTTCAAGACGCAGGAAAAGTACTACACCAAGATCGTGGAACGGTACATGACATTCTGCTCCGACGCAGGCCAGCGCGACGAGCTGCTCCGCAGGTTCTCTTCCCTGGCCATAGGCGAGACCGCGGGGGCCCGGGCAGCGCCGGCGAGCGCGTCGGTGGAAGCTCTCGAGAATCCGGCAAACACCAAGGCGCTGTCGGATGTCATGGCAGCACTGCGCAAGCTCCGCGAGGGCATCGTGGCGTCGAAGCGGAGCGACGACTTCGCCGTCCAGGCGTATCTCTTCTGCATCCGTCTGTCGGTCCTCGCAAAGCAGCCCGAGTCCTACCACCCTGCCATCCTGCATCTCCTGCGCGCCCTTCATCCGCAGCAACCCCTCACGTCGGTGGAGCTGGACGAGGTCGTTGGCTACCTGGTTCTCGACACGGCGTGTCGGCGGCGACAGCTGGCCGAGGCGTTTGCGCTGCGACAGAGGTACGGCCTGCGGGACGGCAAAGTCGGCGCCGCGCTGGCCGCGCTCGTGCACGACAACTCGCTCCTCTTCTACAGAGTGAAACGAGCCGTCGACGGGCACAAGGCGCGCGTCATGGAGTGGGCCGAGGCCGGCGTGCGGTTGCACGCGCTCAAGAGCATCGGCAAGACGTACATGTCCGTCGACACGGACTTTCTCGAGCGCATGACGGGCTCGACCTGGGCCGAGCTCAAGGCAAACGATGGCGTTGGCTGGGAGCTCGAGCAGGAGAGGGTGGTGATACGCAGGCCGAGAGCCCGATGAGCGGCAAACGGCGCGCGAGCAACGCAGCTTCATACTTCGATACGGCTAGATTTATGGCATCAACCTCCTTTTGCTCTTGCGCGCGCGTCAGCAGCTGTGTGCGGCCCGTTGCCCGAGAAACTCGAACTTGACTGAACGCATGCTGCAGTGCACAGCTGCGTCGGCCAGCGAGCAGCTGCCAGCTGCCAGCGACGCACTGTTCCAGGCGTGTTTTCATTACCCTACTCTCTGTTCACGCCTGCGCAACACCTCGACCTTTTCCTTCGCTCGCCTTCGTTCGCCTTCGGCCGCAGAAAGCAACCTCTCGCCTCCTCCTCACTACCACCACGTCGGCGGCTCACCACGTCCTTCCGTCTGTGCCACGAAAGCGAGCACTGGCAAGGCAAGGCAAGGTCGCGACTGCCATTAGCCTCCAGCTCGTCTAGCTCCCCTGCTCGTCCGTCATCCGTCTCATTTGCAGGTCGGCCGAAATCTCCAGCATCAATGCCTCTCACACGTAAGAAGCCCAAGGCTAACGCGGAGCCGAAACCGCCGTCAGTCCTGCTCGCGGATTATCGCACCTGCTGGCTCGTCAAGTACGTTTCTGATTCTGATTCGCCTCTCGTCAGCTCTCCGCGCCATGTTCCCCTACCGTTACCCGTCGTTTCCAGACGACCCTTCTCGCTGGGACTTGCAAAAGCGCCTGGCTTCTCTGTTTAAACAGGAACACCTGCTCCTAGGGCATGTCTTGAGCATCCTCTTCGTTGCATTTGCTGACCGTACTGCCACAGAGACAATCCAAACGCCATCGACATTGTGGCGAAGAGCGAGGTTTTTGTCGTCCACAAGAGCATCCTCACCAAGAGCTCGGAATACTTCGACACGTGCCTCAACAAGCCTTATGCCGAAGCCTTGAACAACAGGGTCGAGTTCGATGACATTGATCCCAAGTACATGGCTTTTTACATCGGTCTAGCCGTCAGCTATTCGACCATCACGCGGCACACAGCGCCCAGACCGCTGGCGCACCCCGAGTCACAGCGTCCCAAGACGCTCATGCGAGACTTTGTCGAGGTCTTCAAGTTGTGCGACCGATTCCTGAGCAAGGAGATGGGAAAGTTCATGACCCAGTGTCTCAAGGTAGCGATTGGCGACGGCCATCGAGCTCTCTTTCGAACCGGAGACGATGTCTCCGCGCAGATGTTGACGATACAGGACTTCGCCGACGCGTTCGAAGCCCTGGTGCTGGAGCACCCTGCTCAGAAGGAACTGGGCAAACTCATGATCAAGTACTTCTGCGACGGCGTCGACTATGCGGCGTGGGCCACGTGCGTGGACAGGATGGCGGATACGCCAAAGTTTGTGGCACATGTGTCCAAGGGCTTCGCGAACAAGCTGGCCGAGCAGGTTGCTCACCGCTTAAAGATCAAGCGCAAAGAGCTCCCCTGCCCTAATATTGAGTAACGGACTGCGCTGGGCTTGGCCTACCTCGAGGCTATGAGTTTCGGTATGTTGCTCTCCATACACCACGGTTCTGGCATTGTGCTAACACCAGTTCTGATCCTTTATGCCAACACAGTTTCGTCGTTGCTCATGGGGGCACGTTGACATGCACATGGTAGTCACTATTGCTTTGGAGTATCTCGCGTTGGCTTTAGACACGGAAACGGCCTGCTTAGGACTTGGCGATTCGGCACTGCAGAGCAAGGCGTCTGTGCTCACGAGACCTGGCCACCAGTCGCTGATGGATGATGACCTGCAGGATGTTGGTCCAGGGATATGTCTCGCTTTGTCGGGACTGCGTGGTAAGTGGATGATTGTTGGCTCTTGCGCGAAGCACTCGTGTCACAGACGTCAAACAAAACTAACCCATTCCTGTTGCAGGCATCGCCGAGCGCTGACGATAGCGGTACTACGTACAGGGAACGGGACAGGGTATTAGCACAGCAGTCGACACTATTTGGCAGGTAGCGCAATTCGGGAAACGTCTGTTTGATTTGCATATGCGCCTTCAAGCAGCTCGCCCAGGTGATTTGACTGTGCGGCGACGCATTTGTATCCGGCTGAAGTAGGGTCCAGGAGGCTTTGCAAAGTCGAAAAAGGAGGCCCGCAACCCCTTTCCTTCGAACCCAGATTGGTGGACAGTGCATAACAGCAGTAACCATGAGCGTCTCCGACAAAGATGTCATGGATGGCACAGCCACAAGGCTTGCTTCCTGGCACGGCGGACTACGATACGCAAGGGACTTTTTCTAGAACCGGCTGCAGCCAAGCCCGATGGCCTGCCCTTCTCCGCACGAGCTGGACAATGCCAATTCCTCGGCGGCGGCGTCGATTGGCCTGAACCCTTGTTTTTGCATCATGGGCGTGTCACCGGCCGTGGCATGGATCGCTCGTCGCCCCAGAGGGCGGCTGGTCGTCGACAAGGGGCGGCGATATAGGTTGGCCCGCTCGCGTATTACATGTGCACCCATCCGTGGACCGCCGCATCCTGACGAGATGGAGGAGGATCGCGGACCAGGCAGGTCGGGGGGCAGGTGCCTAATTTGCTGGGGGGTTGCGCGTGTGCAACGCCGGAGGCCGCCATGGTATAAGTCTGGTATGTCCCGCCCAGGAGGCCGTTTGTGATGTGCATCACGCCCTCCCGATACCAAGTGCTTGGTGGCGGTAACAGCTCATCTTCCTTCTCTCCATCCTGAACAGCTCATCTTCGTGGTCACCGCGATATCCTCGGGTGCCATCGCCGTCTCGAACTCACCAAGTGGTATGTAAAGACAGACCCCTGAGTCGCCTCTGTGCGCGGCTACAGCGTCGCCGGCTCAAGCAGCTCTGACCAACGCAACGTCGCTGGCAGACAGACCAGGTCCCGACAGCCAAACAGCGCAAGATGCGAGCCGACGCTGCGACCATGGCGGCCGTCCTCGGCCTGGCCACGCTCGTCTGCGCTGCCGACGACAAGACAACCATCTACGCCGGCCCCAACGCGCAGGACATCTCGAGCGAGACGTGGCAACAGGTGCTGGACTCGCCCACCAACAGCAGCACGGCCAACATGACGGGCTTCGACGTGACCAAGGCGTACCCGGGCTCGGAGCAGGAGGGCTGGCGGCTCAAGATCGGCGTCAGGGGCGGGCTCGACGGCGACGGCAAGACGGCCACCGTCATGTCGCTGGCCCCGCCGGCCGGCGGCGAGCTCGCAAACGTCAGCGACACCTGGCACCTGTGCGTCTACGCCTTCGACGTCAAGGCCTCGAGCGCCACCCGCTGGGGCAGCGGCAAGACGCCCAGCTGCAGCGGCCTCGTCGCCGACGAGTGCGTCGACCAGCTGTCCAAGGATGCCGTGGCCGGCTACGCCAAGGACTCGTGCCCCGAGTTTAGCACCAAGCCCGCGTGCCTGCGCGACCTGCCCGAGCAGACGGCCATGGCTCTCTCGCTGTCCGGTGAGGAACCCTCCTCCCCCTTGTCACTTTTGTCTGCTGCTTGCCCATCTGCCGTCATGGCGCGGGCTGCTTGTCTTAGGCTGCGCAGAGTATCTTGTTCTCGAATCTCGACCCACGTGTTTGGCTGACGTTTTGTCTGTGCTCCCTTGAGTCTTGCAGCAAAAGACATGTCGTCCGTCTTGCGCGGCAACGCGACCTTCTTCCGCCGCAACGACGGGACCGACAAGGCGGCGTTTGAGACGGCCGCAGGCCTGCCCATGGCCGTCGTGACCTTGTGGGGGCCGTCAGGCGACTCGGACAAGACGCCCACAGCAGAGGCGGCGTGCGTCATGCCCAACGCCAAGGACGCGGCCAGCGGCTCGACTCGTGCCGTTGCGTTCCTGGGCTGGTCGGTCGTCACCTTGGCCGTTGCCGCCACGCTTGTCCTGTGAGCTGCGGCATTGAGATGGCCGTGTAAAGGCTGGTTGCAGCAATAAGCAGAGAGCACTCGCAAAGGAGGGGGATCCGGCTTCCAGTTCTCCGTGCGGGAAACCGGGTCACATCTCATATGTTCGGGCTTTCAACCAGCGGTGAGACGCAGCGAGGCTGATTTGCGTGTCGTAGCGTGTGTATGCTGTATCAAGTCTGTCTGTGTCCTACTGTCCATTCCAATAGTCAACTTTGTTGACGCTATGCCAAGATATTGGGAGTGATTTCGATACGTTTGAGGATGAATGAAGAGAAGGCACCCAAACATATGTCCTGAAATATCCGAGGGAAAACAAAACGCCTTGCCCTGCCTGCCATGCTACCCGCTCGATGCCAATGCTCCAGAAACGCCAGTTAAAGATGCTTGTGTTTTTCCTTGCTGTCTGTCGACGGTCCTGGTCGTCTCATCCCCGCATCGCTGCCCATGTCGCGCTCACGAACGGGTCTGGCGGTTCCAGCCGCCAGCAGTCGCTAGCGTCGCTTCTCGTAAAACTCGACAGCCTTTTCTAGGGCCTCGAGGCTGGAGCGGTCGCCGTAGACGTCCATGAGGGCGTTGTTGCGGCGTTGCTGCTCGGCGGCATCGCGCTCGGCGGCGAGCAGCCGGGCGTCACGGCGCCTCCCGGCGACGTCGGCGTAGGTCTTTACGGCGAGGCCGACAATGGAGACGGCGAGTATCGGTTTGAGCCTGTGCGTGTGCAAAGATGGGTAAGCCTGGGTGATATTTCAAACGATGCCCACACACTCTCTTGCTCTCCCTGTGCCGCCGTTGAGAAATGCCGCTCTCAGCGATTAGATGCCTGCCCATGTACAACGACTTCTGCTCACGTGTTCCGGGGCGACCGAGGTGTAGACGAAGGCATCGGGGAGAAGAACGAGGAGAACAAATTGGAGTACAAGGAGCGTGACGGGACAGGGGGCGCGCGTACCAGCGAAATGGCATGTGGCGAGAGTGACGCAGATGAGGGAGGAAGCTTGGGTGCACTCTGGCCGAGGTCGAGAAGCTCCTGGGGGCGCGGTACATGGTGATGGCAACAGCGCACGTGGGGGGCAGATCGGGAGGCGACAGTGTCGTGTCGGCGTGGTTGGCAACGGGGCGTGGCGGGACGGACGGAGGGCCACGGGCGAGGGGCGAGGAGCGAGCACGATGGTAGTGGTATTGCCGACTGACTGGAGGGCTGCCACCACGGTTCGCACGCCGGTGAGCGTTGGCCTCCGGACGACAGAAATCGGGTCTCGTGGCGACGGCGATGGGACGGTGGGTGAGAAGGAAGGATGGAGGAGGAGCGTGTAATGAGAGTGTGTGCAGCAGTATGAATTCCTTGTTGGCGAAGTGCTAACAATGGAGTAAAGGCAAGGCAGGTGTGAAACGGGGAAGGTGCGAGCTGGGTATCATGGGATCGGGTCGCGACTGCCATGGGGGTCAAATTGCCCCGCGGGATAGCAAGCAAGCGTTCAATCCCATCGAACCACCACCCGTACGCACAATGCTGTCATGCAGTGGTGCTGTGCCCCTGCTCCAGAGACGTACGAGTAGGTGCCAACCTTGCACTCGGCAATTAGCGGGTGCCCCAGCAGTTCCAGTACGGAAGGCGAGGGAACAAGGTCCGCTACTAACACTGCACCACGGAGCACAGCCCAGCCCAGCTCATCAGAGAGCTTCCGGGTCTGGGGAAGGGAACTCACTTGGCTGGGGGAGCAAGCAGCAACATGTGAAGAGAGGCCGCTGGTTCGTCCGGGACAATTTCAAGGGGGGGACCCCCCGCACTAGGGGTCCCGCCCTGTCTACCCACCTCCGGAGTGGTTCCTTTAGGTGGCCAGCCCCCCCTGTCAGTCTCGACGGGAGTTTCTCAACCCTCGGCTGGACCCGGCTCGTCTCACTCTCACTGTCTCCCACCCCTGATGAGTTGAGTTGCCGACACGCGCACGCCCACACACACACACACACGTCCGAGTTGGTGGCATGACAGTGGCATGACCGGACTTGTGTGTCTGCTCACAGATCGGCCGCGACCGCAGCCCACGCCTTGGTCGGTTCCCAGGGCGTTGCCACATGGGCGGCCCCGATGCCCTTCATCACCTCGCCGAAGAAGCCTCCGTCGCTGTTCGTCAGCAGCGTCGAGGCCGTCGTCCTCGAGCACGACGACCACGACGACGTCACGGCCCGCTGGCCCTGCCGCCGCTTCACCCTCGGCTTCGGCTTCGGGCAACGGCGGATGCTGCTGGAGCCATTCGCCCCACAGCTCCGTCCAGCGCTGCTCGTCGACGGCCTCCTCCGTCTCGAGGCACGCCTCGTCGTCCAACGCCCACAGCTGGAGCAACACGGCCGCCAGCCCCTCGGCGCTGCGCCCGCCAAACGACCAGTCGCGGAGCCGCCTCTGCTGCTGCGAGCGTGGCCACGCTTCGACCTGCAGCAGGAAGTGCATCGCCGCGCCGCGCAGCCCCGGATCCTCGTCCCCGCCCCGCGCCCCGGCGTGCCTGTCGCTGGCCCAGTCCCCATTCTCGTAGACCGTTGACGACGCCGACGACGCGCCCTCCCGCTTGTACTCGTCGTGCAACCGTGGCAGCAGCGAAGCGAGCAGCTCACGGAGCTGTCCGCGCGAAGGCTCAAGGCGCCCGGGCCTGCACAGCTCCTTGAAGCGGACAAACGCGAGCCGCACCTCGGGCGACGCGGCCAGCGCCTCGACTGCCCGCTGTCGGGAGGCCCCCAGCTGGGAGCCCAGGGTGCGCAGGTCCTCTCCTGGCCAGATGCTCTCCGCCACGTCGTGGGCAAAGTTTCGTCAGACGTCGTCGACCCAAAGCCCGTCCCGGCTCCTGTCCCGGTCTCGCACGGCCCGTGTCGGAGCATCGTCGCGGCGGCAAGCGGGGAGCATGCACCAGGCATCGCCGCACCGCCACCGGCCGTTGAGCGGTCTGCCTCTTGCTCGCTGTTGGGCAATGCATCTCTCGTAGTCTCGCTGCCGCCGCATCATTGTCATGGACTGAGGCGACGTCCGCTTGCGCGCCGGCTTGTCCCGGCGGCCTTGGTGCGCGTCCCTTGTGCGGTGGCCCAGCATCCTTGGCTGTCGTTGCTTGCACGCTCGGGCAGAGCCTGGAGGGGGGCCCGGAGATGTGAAGACTGAAATGCCTAGATATGCCGGGTCGTGAGTGTAGAGTTGGCTACGAAAGCTTGAACGCGGCCTCCGCTCCCGGCCACCGGGAACTCAAGCTCTTCCTATCCGCATCGTGGAGGCTTTGAGGTGGGTTTCAAGCCCCAAGCCTCGCTGGGGAACAATGACGTTTCTTTGATGGCAATGCGCATGTGCGACGGCGGTTGCTGATGGTGCATCCAAACAGAGTTGTCACGCACACGCCGAGGGGCCAGGGGTCAGGGCAGGCGAACAAAGCCGGGCTGACCCCTGGTGGACACAGTTCCCTACGGCTGGCCAAGGTAAGTACGAAGTAACACTGCGCGCCATCGCCGTCATGGCCCGTTTCGCATGCTGTTGGACAGCCAGGTGTTGGGCCTTGTGGCAGTTGGGCTCCCGGGGTGGGCTTCCATTTCGACATGCGCCAACGGACGGCATGGTCAAGATACAGCACTGAACCGGGGCGCTCGTCCTCGTATAATAAGACGGGGACTAGCCCTCCGCGGCAGCGTCAGCGACATCACATCATCATGCCATGTTGAGACGGTCGGTACTAGGTAGCCAGCGTGCGCGTCTGGCCTCTTGTATGGTACCTAAGGCATGTACGACGTGGTTATGGGCACCGACCGTCATGGGCACCATGGTGTGGGCGTCATCACACCCAGCAGGGCCCATGGTGATCCATGTTGATTGTGTTCCAGGTAGTAACTTAGTAGTTACTTGGGGAACCCTGTACGTGACTCGTGCTGCTCCTGCAACGGCTGCTGCTGGGCTGTCGGCACGCAATCCCGCTGCTCACACGGTTGGTTGATGGAGACTGGAGCTTCGTTGTAATGCAGGAGGGGTTGGAGGTAACTAACTACTTTACCGGATGGGTGGCGCTCTGCCGGCCGCCGCCATCGTTTTGGCCGCTGTCCCATCCCGTCTGCCGCCAGTCATCCATCCAGTGCAGTGCATGGAACTTACCCGTCATCCCGTCCATCCCCCCGCTGGCTGCTAATTTAGGCACTATCGGCGCCCGGGCAGGGTTGCAGCACACCTGCCTCGGGTCGTGGCACGGCTGCCCTCCAGTGTCTCGAGTATCGAGTACCGCGAGCGCGCCAGATAGGAGGTACCCAGGCTAGCTCCGCTACCTCTCCGGCAGCGGGTGGGCACGAGGCGCTCCGGGTACAGCAGGGGGGGACCTGGGACCCTGGGTACGAAACGTGGCACGGCGCACCGGGTACACTTGTGTTCGTACGGTACCTAGTAGGCAGGAGGAAAATGTACCGCCGCAGGTCCAGCCCGGCCATGCAAACGGCGCCGGTGACATGACTGCAGTCAACGTGGGAAACATGGAGCTTCTCCCAGCCTGGACCGGCAAGCCTCCAACTGTCACCTCAACCTCACTCGTGTTCCCCCTCATCCTTTCCTTTCGCCCTCAACCGCCGCCCCTTTCGAACCTTGTCACGGCCAGCCCCCGGCCTGTCACCCATCTCGAGTCTCCCCCTGCCGCCAGCAACGCGCCGGCCTTCGCTTTCTCTGTCGTCTGCCGCATCTGCCTCCTGCCAACCAGCTTCGCCTCGTATCCGCATGCGAACCCGGCTGTCCTTGTGCTTCGCGTTTCGCTTGTCGTCGTGGCCCCGTCTCCTCGTCTAGGGCTGCCTGCCGCATCTCCTTTGGGCGCATACGCATTCGACGCAACCACTGCCTAGACTCGTCATCATTGCTGCTGCGACCCAGCTCGGTGCTACGTGCCCGTACTCGCACTGATATCGCGGCGAGCCTCACTTGACGGCCGCCCTCCAGCTCCACGCTCTGACGATATCATTTGTTTGAATTCTTGTGGTTGGTATGGACTGGCCGTAACAATACGCCCCGTCCTTCCTGCATCGCGTCGACGAAATCCCCTCCGTTGCGACAAGAGCGACGACGTCTGGGCCCCCCGTCGCTGGTGACGCCTCAACTCTCTCGTCATGGTATGCTCCTGCCCCCCCTCTTTGTCCACAGCTCCAGAGCTCCAGGCAGCTGTCCGTCGTGGCGCCCCCAAATCCTCGATTATGCGCCGTGCCTTGAGCTAATACTTCTCTTCCGCATTCGCAGGGGTGCTGCTTTTCTCGCTCCTCGGGCCCGAATTCGCCATACCCAGGCGGTGCCCCCAATTCCTCCGCCCGACACATCAACCCTCCGCCCCTGACCCTGCCAGACGGCGTCCAGGCCAGCAGCCACGGCGCAGCCCAACCCGCCGCGTCTTCTCACCACCGCCGCCGCCGCCGAGACCAGGGGCCGCTCGATCAGCACATCAATAAGCCCTTGCGCCAACACGAATGGGCGTCCAAAGATCGCAGGTGGACGCGGCGAGATCTGGACAAGGAGCGCACCGAGTTCTTCGACACTAGAGTCACGGGCCGCCCGGAGATATGGCAGACGATCCATGCTGCCCTCCAGGTCCTCTGGGACCCTGCGACTGAAGACTCAAACGACGACGGCCTCAACGGCCTCGGCACCGCGCAATCGATCCTGTCCGCCGCCGAAATCTCGTTGCCCACGGGCGACCTCGCCAACGGCGTCTATGACTCGCTCGGGAATTACTACCAGCTGCCCCAGTGGGTAGTCGCCGACCCTACCAACCTCGCCGACGAGAGTGACCCCGATGGCAAGGGCGGCGATTTGTCTACAGGCGCCGGGGAGACCATAGCGGCTGATTTCGACGACATGCCTGCAGACGACGCTGAAAGAAGGCGGGAAGAAAAAGGCAAGCGTGTGCTCGATGCGCGGGAGCAAATAAAAGTCCGAGCGCGTCTGAGTGACTCGGGTCGTGATATCGAAGTCTCGGTTGGTAAAACGGACCCAGTCCGAAGTGTCATACGGACCATAGCGTCTGAATCAGCGGTAAGAGAGCCATGTCCAATCCGTGAGACTCGACCCTCGCCATTTGCTCCTAGGTCGATGGCGCCTTCATACACCTAGGTGGCTGATGCAATGCTTCTCGTGCAGACCCCTTCTACCAAAAAGATACGGATAGCCTACATGGGCAAGATGCTCAAGGAGGGCATATCTCTCGAAGACCAGGGCTGGCAGACAGATCACATCGTCAACGCCCTCGTCTTCAACCGATAGCGTCGTTGGCCAGAGGTTACGGAGCGGCGCAACAAGTGCTTTCGTTGCCCGGCACTTCGTAAACTCCTCGGTTTGGCCGGTGCGAGGTCGCGCGCGCGCACGCCCTCCACGTCCCGCACTCTTTGGCCACGCAAACGCACCACTGCATCCATGTGCGGTTCCAATTCTTTCGTCGAATGATTGGTTTCTCTGAGCGTTACTTCATCATGGCTGGATATGGCCCCCATTGTGTTCGCATGTCGTTTCAACATGTGGGCGGGATGCCCGCCTCCCGGAGTTGGGGGCTACCTTGCTTCTGTACTGGTCGTTTGGTCCTTGACATAGGTCTGATTGTTGTTCAATATACCCCCGCCTTTTTTCTCCCAGACTGGATGGCTCCGTTGTGCCTCCCTGGTGCCCGCTCCCGAGAGACTGTAAGGTGAGGCACGGTAAGGCTTATTCATACGTAGCCGCAGGCATGTGTCAACATTTCGATTCATGCATCTGAAGACGAACCACCTTCAAAAAGAGCCGTGGTCTCAAATACGTCGTCTACCACCCAGCCTTTTTGCCGTCCCCCCCCCCCTCCACCTTTCTCGTGACTGCGTGGGTGTCCCTTCTAATTTTCAGCATTGCTTCCTCGCGACATGACTCCTGCACCGCCCAAGAACCAGGATAGCCCGCCAAAACCGAGCATAACTGCCAGGATCTTTCCCTCCCCGTTCTCCATCTTGGCCGTGTGTATGTATGACTTCCGCGCACGAAATTACCAGACTGTCCCTCAAAGTGGACCGAGAGGCCCAACGCTTAGATCAATTCCTCACGAGGAACCAATCTTGTTGAGTCCCTTCAGAGAGCCCAAGCTAAGCGCAAGGCCTTGCGATCGACTTCGGATACGGACAAAGCCCGTGATGGGCCCATCTTCGCCCTCCTTCTCGATGCTCAGGTTGGCGAGCGCATCCTCACCTATGCACGAGTTAGTTGCAAGTTTCAAGTTTCCGACTAAAGGATGGGGCGACGTTACCAAACACACTGCGGGCGTACAGGTTGGCGCTCAGAAACTGGCAGTCACCCTTCAGGCTAGCTTCGGGGGTGAGGCAGTTCATGTTCGTACACGCCTTCAGCTGCTCCAGGAAGTCCCGCAACGACTTCGCCTTCGAGTTGATGTTGACCTTGTTCTCCCACTCGAATTCGGTCCACATGGTGCGGAACTGGGTCTCTGTGCAGGTCGCGGGCTGGATGTAATCCATGATGTCCACGTGCAGGTCATTCAGAATGACAACATTGGTGTCCGTCGAGTGGGCGCCATCGTATACCACATTTCCGAAGATGACGCCGGTGTCGGTGGACGAAACTTTGATGGTGCATTGCACATTGTGGAAGTCGTGCGGCCCCAAGTTCTGAGTTGTCGGCCGCTCCACCACCTTGAGGTCGCCGAGCGTCGCAAACTCGACCGACAGGTTCTGAAGGGTCTCGGTAGTTTGGTTCACAAGAAGCACGTCGAGGACAATGTCGAACTGGTGCACCTTAACGTATGCCTCAGCATACACGGGGTCGGAGAAGCCAGTCAACTGCACGACGCGGCTGAGCTTCGAGCTGAGGTCCTCGGTCGTCGATTCGCCTCCGGTTGCTCTCTCCAGGTCGACCTCCATCTCGTCGAGACCGTCGGTTGCGTTCTTCTTGGAGAGCTGCCTGATCTGAACAACGTCGTCGACCTGCACGGCAGTCTTTGCCCTCTCATATGCCTCCTTGGCTGCGCGCTTCTTCTCCTCGACCTGAACCATGGCCCGGAATGCTTTCCTGGTGTCGTCCAACCATACCGTTTCCAACTCCTTCTTCTCTTGGAACTCGGCCAGGGATCGCACGCAGGACATGATACGGTCCACAGAGTCCTCATCGATCGGCGCCTTGACGAATTGAGACTGGCCAACGCGCAGAACCGAAATCATGATGAGCATCGCCTCGGCTCTCAGGGCATTGGTTCGCGCCTTGTCGGCCGAGATCTCCGAGTGGCGCATGACAAGCTTGACCAGCGTAGACGAGAGGACGGTGGCCAGGTAATAGTCTCCGTCAAGAATCAGCTGTCGCAGTGGCGGCTTCTGAGCAGCCTTGACGGCTTCCAACTTGGCAGCGGCCGACGACTGACTGGTAAGTGCCGTCTCGGTGGCGTATGTACCGTCTGCCAGGACCTTTCGCGACCCGCTGGGTGCCGAGGGTTTCGAGTGGCCGTTGACATGTTCCTCAGGCTTGTCTTCACTATCTTGCTCCTCCAACAGTCGCTGTTCTGAGGCCAGAATGGGGATTTCGCCCAAACTGGCTCGTATCCTCTTCCAGGCGTCCCGAATGTCCTTCTCCTCGAGAGAATATTCGCCAATAATCCACATAATCCCTCGGTAGACCTTGCCGGCGCGAACCTCGCTGAGAGTCGCCACCAATCGCTCGACAATGGTCTTGCGCAGAGCGGGGAACTTCTCGACGACCTCTTTGACAAAATTGATGACGTCGACAGCAGAAGCGTTGTTGAAGTCCGTGATGAAGTCCATGAGGAGCTCCACGACACTGGCGGCGACCTCTGAGAACTTGATGGCGCATTGGTGGATAGAGTGGATGAGAAGAGAGCGGTATTCCGCGTTCTTCTCATATTCCTGGTCGACAGTCTTCGCCAGCTCCTTCTTCAACAGTAAGACGACCTCCTCGACGTTCTTGCTCGACACCATGTCCAGCGCAATGCCAAGGGCCTTCTTTCGGACATCGATGTCTGTGCTGGAAAGGACACGCAAGATCTCCATGGTCAAGTCATCCAAGATGCCTTCATTCTTCTTGCGCAACTGATCGACTCGGTCGAGGACGATGAGCTTGACGTTGTTGTCTGCCTCCTTAATGCTCAGCTCGATGAACTTGGCGGCCGCAGCCTTGACGGCAACGGGGTTGTTGGTAAGAGCCGTCAAGGAAGAGGCAGCCTCGTATACCACGGTTGAGGCACCAGCCTCCAACAAATCGAAGATCAATCTCAGGTACCGCGCCTTGTTTTGTGAGTTCTGAACGGCATCCTTGCGGATGAACTCGAGCTCAACCAGCTGGAGGAGCTCCTCAGCGTTTGGAATGCCGTCGAAGACGGAGCTCAGATACAGCAAAGCGGCGTCATGGTTGATACTCGCCAGAGCGGCGAACGCATTCCGCTTGCACGTGGCGTCCGTCTCGCCCTCAAGGAAAGTCGCGATAAGCTCGGCCGCATCGGGAATGAGGGACGGAGAATGAATGTGGATTGAGGAGATGGCGAATACAGCGTTCTTGCGCACGTACGCATGTCGATGTTCGAGGCAGGATCTCGCCGAGGAAAGGAGCGGTTCAATCAGTTCTGGCTCGCGGAGCTTGCAGAGGAAACGCAGAGTGTTGCCTCGAATGTACTCGTTGGGATGCTGGAGGTCATTCCGGATGCCGTTGCTAATTGCGAGGGCTGACGTTAGCCGCCGCAGAGTCGTCACGGAGCGGGTGGGAGATGCCTACCAAACCAGAATCATCTCTTGCTTGAGTTTGCCGCTCGAGTCCAGCTTGGGACATATCTCATAGTAGAAGTACAGAAGCTTTTTGAGGGGCTTGTACTTGGAGGGCATGACGAATCGGATGATGTGCATGAGCAACGTTGGCATGGGGTCGCCATTGAGCATCACGGTCAAGATGCGCTTCATGGTCTCGACCTTGGTCTCGTCGGTGCCCTTTTCCAGTTGCATGCGCAGGTCCGAGACGGACGGCACGTCGGCCGCATTGTCCTGGTGGACCAGGCTGTAGGCATTCTCAAGGAAGCCAGACATGGTCGAGGGAGGCCGCCGGCAACGGATCTTCTATGCTCGAGGATAGGTTGGCGCGGAGAATTGGTTTTTCGATGCGACCGGCTTCTGCTATAGTCGTCGTCGCCTCGAGTCGAGAAGGTGGACGGAGGGGGGAGGTTCAGGGGTCGGGCCCAAAGGGCGGAAAGCCGGCGAGGGGAGCTTTCACGAGGAACAAGGGCGTATCGAGCCCATTCGGCGTTGCAGGAGGGTTGTGGCAGTATGCCAGTCCTTGTTGACCGGAAGGTTGTTGCGTGAGCCGGCTCCTTGGGGTAACAAGCAGCTTCGGTCAACAGACAGACAACCTTTGGGAGATGATCTGGCCCTGCCCGCCGCCCGCATTGCTAGAACAGGTGGCACCAACGACACGAGCTGGGCGAGTCACGTGCAAGGGGGAACCCCCCCCCCGGCTCCTCCTCCAGAGGACCCTCTCACCGTCGTCTCTCTCCCTAGCTTGGCGACCTGCTCCAGGCACGAGGCTCTGTCGGCCCCCACTTTGGTTCGCATCCGTTCGCTTAGCTAATGCTGCACTGACGTCCGTCCCTTCTTTGCGCCCCGCCGTCACTTTGCAGCTCCAGCGACAAACAGACAGGTCAAGAACGAGACCGGCCTCACGAAACAAGTCGGCGCATGCGAACCCATGCCGAGCAGCCGCGATGCCTGCCTCAAACGAACCGTTCTACATCCGATACTAGTACGCTGGACGGTCAGCTCTCGTTCATCATGCATACTAATCTGGTGACAGCTCGGGGCACATGGGTCGTTTCGGTCATGAGTTTCTCGGTTCGTCGCATCTCGGCTCTTCCGCCGCCATCTTTCCGAGCCCTAACGCTGCTATTTCCAGAGTTCGACTTCCGCGTCGTGGGAGATGGCCGCAGCGCCGTCGCGAGATACGCGAACAATTCCAACTACCGCAATGACAGTTTGATCAGGAAAGAGAGTGAGCAGTGGATCGCCTCGCCAGCAGTCGTGCGGCAACGCTGATCAGCGACAATAGTGTGCGTCAGCTCTGTCATAGTCGACGAGATCAAGCGCATCATTACGTCGAGCGAGATCATCAAGTGAGCGGAGCTGTCACCAGGCAAGGCGTCCAAATGGCCTCTAACACCCGAGACAGGGAAGACGATTCAAAGTGGCCGCAGAAGAACAAGGATGGGCGTCAGGAGTTGGAAATCCGGCTGGGGAATGACCATATATCTTTCGAGGTACGCTCTGGGGAGGGTGTCCATGAAACAATGAAACAACTGCTGACCGCTTGGCAGACGGCCAAGATAGGCTCGCTCGTGGACGTGACCGAATCCGCCGACCCAGAGGGCCTCCGCGTGTTCTACTACCTCGTGCAAGACCTCAAGGCTCTGGTCTTCAGCCTGATTGCGTTGCACTTCAAAATCAAGCCTATCTAGTCGGACCACGGGTAATCGGGTCGGATGGTCGCAGGGCAATGATAAGAAACCGACATGGCTCCCCCCCCCCCGGGCGAAGCTAAATAACCGCGAAATGTCGGAGGCTGAGGAAGGTACTTTTCAAATTCGCTTGGAATCACGAGAGGGCTCTCGTGCTACTGCAGGGCGTTGGATATGGCGATCGTCTTCGGTTGCGGGTATGAGACAACCCATGGGCTGGGACCCCAGGGAAGCGGGAAACTTGGGCACGAAAAAGGCAGGCTACGGCAACACATATAGAGGCATCAACACTGGGGCGAAGGATGGTTGATACCCGCACCCGGTATTTGGACCGAAGCTGCTTGTCCGTCGGAGCTGATATAGTCAAGGAAGCAGACGGCGTGGGAGGCTGCTTGGAGGACGCCTATTGTTTGATGCTGTCTTTAGAGCCCCAAATGACGGACTGCGCTCCCAGTGCCGAAGTGGACTTTCGTGGTCCATGGCTGAATCTACCTTGCGACTTTGGTCCGCACCTGGGTCCCGCAAGGATTGACCCTAGCAGTCGGGCAGCAAGGCCTCGTGTGGCGCACAGCAAAGTCAGTCGAGACCAGCAACGTCGTGGCGTGCACGCAGCAAACATTGCATTGCACGTGAATCACTTTGCAGTCGTCGCGTTTACGTTACCAAGCAGCCTCACGACGAGGGCCGGGAGCGCACCTGCTGGGGTCGGTTCTAAGGCGGGCTGCGATACGTTTAGTGCCGTCACCTGTTTGACGCACAGACAAAGATGCCGTGTACGGTATTATGTAGTAGGTACGAAGTAGAGCGCTTCCAGAATGAATTGTGCGTGTTGTCGGGTCGGGGGCACACAACAGATATATGGGGTGCATGGGCATGTGTCCCCTGCCATTCGGCGCGGCAGGTCTTGGGTCGGGACACGGACCACAACCGTTTGCTGTTGGGCTTGGCAGACAGACACGGGCAAAACGGGCAATTCGACCTGCAGGTGTGAAAAGAACTTTAGCTCCGGGCGGATCCCCGCCACCGGTCAGGCATGGGGAGGGTGAGCGGCGTTCGACATGCGCTATTGCAGACGGGACGTTGGATGAGGTGGATGGCGGATGGGCGCCTGGGATGGATGGCTCCCAGTTAGCGCGCGCCCTGGACAGCGAGCACGCACCCAACCGTACAGGTGGCCGGTGGCTCGTCCACCCGGCTGTCGAATGCGGGCAGCCCGGCGCGCATGCGTTCCAGGTTGCACAACCCATCCCGCAGCGGCGTCAGGGCGGAGGGCTTCTGCACCACCAAGCGTGCGTGCGAGGACCCTGTGCTTGCAGCCTCGCTCTGCTGCCCAGGATCCTCGTCTCTGCATCTCCCAAGGCGCTGAAGGCTTGGGGAAATACCTTGGGCGACTGCATCTCTGAGGCACTGGGCCAGGGTTACGGTCGGCAAAGCCCAATAGGTTGCGTGCGAGAGCCGAGTGCAGTTGGGGTTCCGGCACGCGCCGTTCGGGTCCGAATCCAGCGGTGCAAACAACTTCCGTAACCTGGGCTGCTAGGGACGAAGTACAGTAATCCGGGCGGGTGTCCTGCACACACACCTTGCCAACACCCCACCGGATGCTGCCAACCTGGAACCCACCCAGGATTCTCTGCAGTGCTGTGGCTTGAGCGAGTCGACCTTCGGGGTGGGTGCCACCGCCCGCCCTCGGGCTCGTCCTCGACTGGTCCTCGACGGATGCGTTCCGAGCGGCGCACTGTCCCAGGCCGTCCCTCACTATCCAGCGGAACCCCGGTGATCGGCGGATGGTGTGATGCGGTGCGGAGCCTTTGGGAGCCCTGGTACCTCATCATACGGTGCGAATAGGCCCTCGCCACCGCAGCCACCTCAGGAGCGCGGGCGGGCGGCATTGGCACAGCTCGTCCGCGTGCAAACTAGGTCGTGCCAACCGCCGACCGGCCGGCCGCCGGGGCCCCTACCTGTGCTACTTTGCGTTGCCTGCAAGTGCTGTAATGGCGCTGCATCTACGGCACTGAACTGAGATCAGGCAACTGTCAGTGACGGGCCTACTGAACGGGGTCCAAGTCCGTCTTCCATTCCCACCACCCAACTCATCCACCCCGTGCCTCCCGTCGTCAGCGAAGCCACTCGCACCCAGACAACTCCATCCCCTTCGCCCATCCAGCAGACAGGCCCCTTCTTCCTCGTCCGCCTTGCATCACCGTTGCCCTGCGCCTGGACGCGCCCGACACCCCTTGCTTCCTCCTCTTCCTCTTCCTCCTCCTCGGCGCAATCCGCTGCTTTTCCGCCCCCGCGACGAGGCCCTCTGTCTGTTCTGTGGCCATGCGCTACTGAGCAGCCTGACCGACCGACGCCCATGATACCACCCCAGCTCGACTGTCCCGACCTCTGAAGCCAGCCATTCTTCACCATCGCCAGTCTCGTCCAGCGGCCGTCGCATGCACACGCCTTACGCCGTTTATGCTCGCCTTCCCGCGCCTCCTCGCCCTTCTCGTGCACCCCGTTATTGCCGTTGTCGCGTAAGGCAGCCCGATCTCGCTGGCACTGCCGGCACACGTCGGTCCCGCCGTGACTGCGAGCTTCCACCTCCCCGTCATCACCACCCATCCGACTCTCCTGCAACGCCACGATGCCGACACCGTCTCCAAACCCGCCACCGGGGCCGTCTTCCCCTCCTCCGTACGCCTTTTCGACGTGTCCCGACGACGTCCAACAATCTCCTCACCCCACCCGCCAAACCCACGCCGCCACCCAGTTGCCCGAGACCGGCGCGCTGCATCTCGAGCCCAGCTCATCAGTCGATGGACCATCGCCGTCGTCTTCGACTGCCCGGGCCAGCGCCGACGACATAGCCGCCGCTGACGCTCTGATGCTCGGCAGCGGAGCGTCGGTGGAACCCTCGTCAAGAGCTACCACTGTCTCGCCCGGTCCGCACTCCAGCGTCACTGGCGTCACTTCACCTGCCCCGAGCGCACCCGATGGTGACATTTCCAAGGGTCACGGCATCGCCCCAGACGGGCCTTTGAGCCACATGAGCGCCGCTCCAGTTTCGCGATCGCGGCCGTCGCCAGACGGTACCTCGGGCTCGTCCCTGTATCGCGATTTCGACTCCGCCGATTCAACACTATACGATGACGATGATGACCGATTCTCTTCCCCTTCCATGGGCTCTGATGTGCCAAACCTGCGTGTGAGTCGAGACCCCCCCCCCCCCCCCCGGCACGTGATGTGTTCGGATACAGGGCATCACTAACACGTGCAAGGCAATTCCGACCCTACCCTCATCTTATTTGCGCCCCGGTAGCAAATTCCATGGCACGCAGCAATCCGAGAGACAAGTTTACGACGTTCAGGTGGAGATCAAGCACGTCGATATGCGAGAGTCATTCTTGTGCGGTTATCTGCGTATACAGGGTGTGTACAGACCATGGCGCTACCCTCCCGTTTCTTGGCGTAAGCTCACACGCAGTACCGTCCAGGGCTCACCGAGGATCATCCAACGCTCACGACCTTCTTCGAGGGCGAGATCATTGGCTCCAAGTATGGTTTCGAGACGCTGCACGAAGACTGGGGAGCCAGCTACAAGACGGACATGAGCCACTGGGGCAAGTTCAGCGCCTTTAGACCGCTTCACAAGCAGGCTCGAAAGGGACGCGTTACTATACATGACGTCGCGCAGAGAGAGAACATCTTCATGCGCTGGAAAGAGCACTTCTTGGTTCCTGACCACCGCGTGCGAACCATCACTGGAGCGAGCTTTGAGGGCTTCTACTACATTTGCTTCAACCAGCTCAAGGGGGAGGTGAGCGGGATATACTTTCATTCGAAAAGCGAGAAGTGAGTGTCGCATGCTTGTTTACTTGTTTTAGGGCTGGCTAACAAGCGTCCTCAAGGTTTCAGCAGCTGGAGTTGAAGCACGTCCCGAACCGGGGCTGCTTCAGTGCGACGGAGTTCCGGTGACGTCTTTTGCCACGCCCCAAGTGGCATGATACCTTGATTTAGCGACGGAAGGGATGTAACGGGAATGATATATGATTGTGTGTTGGAAGACGGCATCCCCGCCAGCCTGCTCGCCGGCGGCCGGACACGCCGCCTACCCCGATGTCCTACGCCAGAAGGGCACGATATACTACATTTGATGGGAGAGGAAATTTGCGCTTGAACTCCTCGACAGCTGGTTGAGAAGCACGAGTTTTCTGGCCACAGGCGGTCATCACGTCCAATACGAGTACCGTTCTGACGCTCCTCTTTTGGATTGTGCCATTCCATCTATTCACTCGCCTCAAATTTTCTAAAGTAACCACGCCGAAATGGATTCAACTCGTCAGCGGTTGTGCCGATGCTGTCGGCCTTGCCCGTGGCGTGGTATGACTCGAGCGCCGATGGGGTGACCTGACTGTCAGGTATCCGCCGATACGTGATAAGTCGCCTGGACCCTAGAGTGCAAAGTCAGACGAGTAATCATCGTAGAGTGGTTGAAGGAATCTCAATATGGTATAAAGAAAGTGCCTGGCCCGGGGAAGGCTGTTGAAACAAAGAGAGAGGCAGGGGCGCCGTACATTTGTTGAACACCTGGACACAGACAGCCACTATTTCAAGGCATGGATGCGTCGGCACGGGTATCTCTAGCTCCTCGTCATTTGCTGTTGGCATCCAAAATGATACTCTTCCGTTGTCTACGAGGGTTTCAGAGGCGAAGATGAGGATGTCGTTGAGCATTGCGAAGAAGCTGTACGGCTTCTTGGGCGGCACGAAGTCCGGCAACCTGAGACGTGTCAGTGTGGGCTGAATACTCCCCGTCAGTCAAGGAGGGGTGCTGGTGCATCGATTCGCCCCGTCACTTACGATCCGTCCTTTTTCCCCTTCTCGATGAGCCAGGGGGTCTTTTCCGGGTCCCTGAGGCCAAGAACCCTCAGGCCTTCTCGCACCCCATAGGGGGGGTCGCAAACAATACCATCCCATATTCTTCTGCCTCTCTTTATGGGGGAGTTGATCAAATCTGCGGAAAAAACGTCGCCAAGGCATGACTGTAGGCCGTATTGCTCAAAGTTGCCGCGCAGGCTTTTGTGGCCGCCCGTGCCACGAATGCTACGTCCGTCAATGTCGCTACCCCACCCAATGGCCCCGAAGTGCGCGCAGGCGATGGGAAACGAGCCTGTGCCGACGAAAGGGTCGTAAAAGAGCTTTCCCGGCGCTGCCAGCGCGATGTTGGCAGTGACCAGTGACAGCTCCGAGTCCATGCTGGTGGTGGAGATGTACCCTCGCTTTTTCAGGTCAAATCTGAGGATGACGTCGCGTGATGAGGCAGCAACGAATCGGCCAAGGTACACCATGTCTGGGTTCTCGATGCCCAGGGGTACACTGTCAAATGGCCAGATCTCGAAGACGGTGAAGATATGGTCGGGGTCCTTCATGCGTATGGGCCCGTCAAAGGGCAGGTAGTCAAACGAGTTGATGATGGCCAGTCGCTGGGCAGCGGTGCGCGCCCCCTGGAAGTACTCGACGTCGAACTTGAAGGAGGGCTCCTTGTATTGTGGCCATAGATGGGCGGTCCGTGTCTTGTTTGATTCATGGAGGGCGGAAAGGGTTGCGCCTTTTGCCCAAAACTCATGGATTGATTGCGCAAGGATGGATCGCCTGATGAGTTTCTGTGCTGCTTCGACCGATGGCAGAGAAACCAGACACAGTGGGGACTGGAGACCAGTGTGAGCGGACACTATCATAAATGTTGCATGTAAGTGAGCCCTACCTGGTCACTGTATTCAATGACAGTCAGGTCGACGTCTTCGACGACAGCGAGAGCCTCGATTTCGGCTAGCCGAAACGTCTCGTGTGTCTGTGCGAATTTGATGATGAACTCCATGGTTGTAAGGCACTCTCCCGTGTCCGGCCGCTGAGTCGGCGGCGTTTCCCTTTGGGTTTTTCCCCTCCGTTGCCATGCGCGGCGGCAAGTTCAGCGCGAGGTATGATGTTCGATTGTGGCGAGGTCTTTTGGCCAGGCTCAGAACCCATGAGCCGGTCAATGGCACAGCCAGACCACCGCCGGATCAGAAAGTCGAACGAACAGACTATGGCCAGGGCGGAGAAGAGAGAGAGAGAGTGCAGCAACGCGTGCTGGCTGCTATGTGAATGGAAGGTTGGGCTGCGGACGCCCGAGGTGGTGTAGGGTGTGCAATGGCAGAGGCGGAATGAGTGAGCGCGAGTGCTGGAAAAATTCGCCCGAAAAACTCCCGCCACGCCAACACGACGGGTTCCAGGTTATTAGACGTACATCGCACGACCTATTTCGTTATGCATCACCCTCGATCCGTCAAAAGCCAGCTGGATTGACGCCGCGACACTGAATTCGCGGCAAACACAGCCGAGATCTCAAAGCGACGGCCTCCTCCCCAGCCACAGGCCATGTTCCCCCAGGCCACACCATCCGTGTACCAGTCGTCGGCATGCTTCGTCACGTACGGGACACTGGGCCACCTCGACCCACAGCAGCCGCCCTACAGAAGCAAGCCGTGGACGGATATCGCGTCGCAGGACTTCATACACAAGGTAGGACCAAACCACCCCGTGCCGTCGGCTTGACGTCGAGTTGAACGAGCTGACTGCTTTCCAGGTCGATCTCATCGTACCCCAGCAGTGCTACGATGCGCTGCATGAGACGGTCACCCGAAGCAGTCGGCAGCCTTGCTATTCGCGCGTGACCATGGCGCTGGGGCAGATCCTTCAGGGTTCATTCTTCACCGAATATGTCAAAACAGGTATGCTGCCGACGCGAAGTCGTGTGCCTGTGCCTGTGCTGAGCCCTCGGATGCAGGCGACGCTCTGATGCTGTCGGATGGCCGGGACAACAGCAACAAGTTCACACTGCAGAAAGGTGCCAAGCCATGTGTCCGCGCCACCGGCACCATTGCACTGCCCTAACGCGCCGTCACAGGGATGTTGAAGCTATACCTTGAACGCGAGAGCTTTGAACGAGCTGGCCTAGAAGGCAAACCACACGGCGCCAAGGGGAGCCGCGGGGACAAGCCGAGATGGGGTATACCTTCCCTCGCACAGTGAAGCTATTGGTGATGTATTGGAACGTCTACGCTAATCATACGCTCTAGTCGTGTCCGTTGATCTCACCGCCCCGTCTATGGTTTCTGGCAAAAGGGGCTTCGAGCGACTCCTACGAGCCTGCGAGACCGTCTTCAGCAGCCCGGTGCAGTGGCTGTTCTGCAAGACGACGCAGTCAGGTCCGTTCCCCACCCCCTTGCCCAACAAAGTACCTCAGTGCGCCAAGCACTGGATCCTGACTGTCGAAGCCGTCAACCCCGATCCCCTGGACGAGTTCCAGCCAATCCGGTACCCTGTCCAACCATCCGTGGTCCAGGGAATTGAGGTTGCGGATATCAAGATGGGGATATCGCCCTCAGTATTGTCCAGTGGTGATAGGCGGGCACTAGAGGAGGCAGCCACGGACCTGTACGAATGGCTCTCTCTGGTGAGGCTGCAAAGCCCACGAACGGCGATCAACGACGGCATTGACCCGTATCTGTCGCGGTACAATGTGCCAGCCAGCGACACCGAGACCACCCAGGGTAGCATGCAAGTTTGCATGCTCCGCTGGCAGGGCCTCATATCTGCACGCTGGTTTCGCAGTCTGGTCACTGATGTTCTCGGTGCATGTGCCCCGACGCAATGGTTCTCTGCCAGCGCCACAGGGTTCGCTAAGGGCATGGTAGGAACTGGCAACGACTTGACGTTGCTCTGCCCATACAAATCAGGAGGCGAGTACCTTATGCTGGTCACGAAGAACGCCGACTGAGGCTTCAGCCATGCCTGGGGCGGACGTTCCGGTCCTCACCAAGCCCTTGATCCAAAATTGCATCCTCGACGAGCTTGCGCAAGTCAGCCTGGCCACTCGGGGCGTCGAAGTCCTGTCGCTGGGCCAGCTCCTCGATGCGTCGGCGAAACTCTGGGTCGACCTCGCCAGGAATATCTTCTGTCTGGTCCATGGTCCCGACTGTCACCTCGAGGCCCTCAGGTGGCTGTTGTATGACATCGGGGATGGCGTTGGCGGCCACGGATGCTATGGCGCTGTCGGCGTCCCTGTTCTCGAGCGACACGAGATAGTGGGCGACGTCGGGGAAGTCCCCTTCTGACTCAATCTTTTCTCTGGCTGTCAGGCCTTCGGAACCGCGATGGTAGAGGTCGGCCTCAAGCTCTTCGACGAGGACGCGGGCTGCGTCAACAGTTTCCACAGCGAATAGGGCCGTCTCGCTGTCCTCATCCTTCAGGTTGACGTCGACTTTGAGCTCTCGAACGAGGGCGCGAAGCAGGTCGAGGTGGTTATAGCTGGCGGCAGCGTGGACGAGCGAGTAGCCGTGGTCGTCCTGCGCCGAGGCCAGGCTTGGGGTTTCTCGGAGGAGGGGCAACAGCGCAGGGCTGTTGTCGGCGGCAAGCAGAAACGGATTTTGGGCCGGAGCCATTGCAGCGGGCTGGAGCAGCAAGGGCTGTTGTGCGAACCTGATGGTGAAGAAAAGAGACCTGGGGACAGGAGGGGCGAGGCAGCAGGAGTGAGTGAATGTTGCAGGTCGTCTGAAATAGAGGGGCAGTGGCGGCCCACCGTCGGTCGGTGGTTGTGAACGTAGGTATTTAAATTTTGTTCGGAGGGGCTCCTCCCCGAGCCCTGACTGGTCCTCCATACAGTGTTATGTGCCACATAATAAGAACTTGGAAGTAACCTGCCGCACACGGGCGTCACTGCTCCTAGAGCCCAAGCGGCTCCAGCAGCTTTGGGATGGTAGTTGCCGCTCCAAAGCCCCCGCGATCCTTGTCGCTCAGTTTTAGAGTACGAATTAATTATTCTGCGCTGGAGTCCGGAAGGGTCCGGCCTCAATTACACGTGCAGCAGTCGTCCAGACCCATACCATGGGACGCGCCGCGCTGTCAAGATAAGGCACCTACCTACGTACATACCTACTTACCGTCTCTTGTTGGTACATGAATCGCGGTCCTTCCCTTGAACCCCCCGTTCAGGGCACCCGGCGAGGAGTAATACCTCGAGGCAGTGCTCCTCATCGTCAAGGCAGATCCATTCATACTGGCGGCGGGAAACCTTGCAGTCAGCCTTCCTGGTCCGTCCGTCCGCCGCGCCGCATTTGTGACTCACCGCCGCAGGCCAAGGGAAATAGCTCTTGCAGTCGTCCCTTATATGACGCTCACTCACTTTTTGCCTTCCAATCTTTTCTCCTGTCGCCTCCTTAACCGGCCGGCGCGTACCTGCCCAAACACCTTTCGAGCCCGTTGGTTGGCGCGCAGTGCCTGAGGCTACCCCACTGTAGTTCAGTGATCCGTCCCAGCCAAGGCAACCTGGAGGCAAGCACTTTGCCGGCCCTGTCTTTCACTCACCAATTTCACCTCCAAACTCTCACCCCAAGACTACACTGAAGTCGGCAGGGCTGCTTCTGACCCCGCGACAGCAGCTTGGAGCTCACTCAGGTTGATCGTGGCGTTTGCTCGGACCAGATTTCCGCGATATCGAACCCTGCCACGTCGTCGAGAACTCTTCCGGCTTGGCCACCCAGGCCACGCCCTCGTCCAGGTACGTTAGAGGTGGCGCCGTAACGACGAAAGGCAGATGGTTGACTGCTGCTATTTCTACGGATAGGTGCAGAAGAAGGACGGGCCTTGTTGCGCGCTCTCTGCTTTCGACCTGCCAAGCTTCTTCTGGAAGCCAAAGGGACCGAGCTCAGGGGCCACCCCGCAAGCAGGCACGACGGGGACTTGTGAACAGGCTCATCCTTCCGCATGAGTCCGAGCTCATTCCGGGCCAGACAACTTACGCCTTCTCTCGCCTATACGCCAATCCTTTGGCACTGCCTTCGGGCACGTCGTATTGCATCAAACGCACTTCTCCACCCTCACACGATGGCTGCCCCCTTGGTTCCTCAAGACGTGCAAGAGGTCGCCCGGGTCCTCGGGGCCCTCGAGGCCGCTCGGAAAGAAAAGAAGCGTGGTGCATTTTCTATCAAGAAGACCACTTTCAGCGTCAAGGACTCTCAGGATGGGATCCAGGTAGATTCTTGGCGACTGCAGGACTGGGACTACAAGAGACGCGACTTGCCTACCTACGCCCGCGGCCTTTTCACAACTAGGACCCGTTCCAAGGAGCCAGAGATTGCTGTCAGAGGCTACGACAAGTTCTTCAATGTTGGCGAGGTCAACGAGACCAAGTGGGAAAACATCACTGCAAGGACCCAACCGCCGTACGAATTGACTCTCAAGGAAAACGGGTGCATCATCTTTGTTGCTGGCCTCGAGGACGACACCTTGCTGGTCTGCAGCAAGCACTCCACTGGCGACCGATCCGACGTTGATGTCAGCCACGCTTCCGCCGGCGAACTGCGGTTGGAGAGGCAGCTCGCCGCCATCGGCAAGACAAAGGCAGATCTCGCGCGCGATCTGCGTCAACGCAATGCAACCGCCGTCGCCGAGCTATGCGACGACTCTTTCGAGGAGCACATCCTCGCCTACGGGCCTGACAAGGCTGGCCTGTACCTCCACGGCATCAACCTCAATTTGCCCGAGTTTGTCACGTACCCCAGCCCCGCGGTCCAGGAGTTTGCCGACCAGTGGGGTTTCCGGAAGACGGGCCTAATGGTCATGAACGATATACATCAGGTCAAGGCTTTTCTTGAAGAAGCGGCCGAGACTGGTGCGCATGATGGACGAGACGTTGAGGGCTTCGTCATCCGCTGCAAAATGAGTGTCAACCCTGGCTCGCAGCCGTACCAGGATTGGTTCTTCAAGTACAAGTTTGAAGAGCCTTACCTGATGTACCGGCAGTGGCGCGAATGCACCAAAGCTCTCATCTCTGGCAGGCCACCCAAGTTCAAGAAGCATGTCCGCATCACAGAAGAGTATCTCTTGTACGCCCGGCAGCGCCTCGCCGCAGATCCACGACTGGGGAAGTCGTACAACCAGAACCATGGCATCATTGCCCTGCGCGATGACTTTCTCAAGTTCAAAAACCTCAACGGCTCCGACGCGGCCAACATGGACGATGCAAACCCCGTGGCTATGACCGAGGTCACCGGAGACGTTATCCTTTGTCCGATTGCGACCATTGGATGCGGCAAGACCACCATTGCCCTGGCATTGGCACATCTTTTTGGTTGGGGCCATATACAGAATGACAACATCTCCGGCAAGGGGCGCCCGCCCAGATTCACCAGGGCTGTGCTAGAGCAGCTCAGGCATCACCCCGTGGTGTATGCAGACCGCAACAACGCTCAGAGACACGAGAGGAAGCAAATAATCACCGACGTCAAGATGCAGCATGCTACGGCTAAACTGGTATGTCTCAACTGGCGCCATGATGACGATGCCATCGACGAGATCCGCCGCATCACACAAGAGAGAGTGCTGGCACGTGGCGACAACCACCAGACTATTCACGCCGCAACGGACAAGAACAAGTATCTGGGAATTATGGAGGGCTTCATCAACCGCTTCGAGCGCTGCAGCCCTCACTCGCGACCTGATGACGGTTTCGATGTCATCATCGATCTGGATCCGGCAGTCGGGAGCCGCATGAACCTCGAAACCGTTGTCAAGCAGCTGCAGCGGTATTTCCCCAACTTGGTGAAAGAAACGCCGTCAAGCGAGCAGCTCGATGCCGCCATCGAAGCTGCCATTGGCTATAAACCGGACTTCAAGCACGAGCTGCCGGACCGGACAAATGGAGGCAGCAAGAAGACGCAGCAGCCGCAACCACAGGAGAATCAGAGGAAGTCGAGGCAAAAACAGCTGGAGTACATGTCTATTGACGTGCCGGCCAATGCCATCACCGCGGCACTGGATCAGGCCTTTCAAGGGGTCGACCCGAAGACGTCCCGCTTCTATATGCAACTCAAGCAAACACGGCGAGTGCAAAACAAATTTCATGTAACTCTCATGCATCGCGCAACGGCCAAACAACATCCCGAGTTGTGGAAGCGGTACACAACGCTGTATGATGCTTCAGCGGGGACTGAGGATAAGCTTGACGAGTGTGGTCTAATACTGGAGAGGGTATGTGCTGGTCGCTCGAACGGATAAGCGTTGCGGATACTGACACACTGTTCTATTAATCGCTAGGTTGTCTTTGATGATCGCATCATGGCCATCGTCGTTCGCCTGATCGACGCGGAGGGCAAGTGGGATTGCGTGAACCGCGTAGCTCACATCACAGTTGGAACACGCGACAGCACAGTGAAGCCGAAGGAGAGCAATGATTTGTTGGCGAGGTGGCTGGATGATGGCGTCTCTGATGGCGGGATAGTAGAACGGGTTTTCGAACCCAAGCCGACCGTGGTAGGCGCCGTCAGGGGTGTGGCGTCAAGGTAGAGCGGACTGCGACCCTGCCACATGCGACTCTTGCCGCAGCGTTTGAGGTGCCTCCCATGTTCGAGTCCAACGGACCTGTAGGTGGCCATAGAGAACGGATGGTCTCCGAGGTTCGCTGTCGGAGGTCTTGCAACACGTAGAGCTCTTGCACAAGTCCTGCAAAATAGGCAAGACCCTCCACTCATTGTGCTGCAAGTCTTGGTGATGATGTTGTGTCTTAAAAGCCCGCCATGCTCATTGCGCACATGTCCGCGGCGCGTGGCATAAGGTAGGTTTAGGCAAAACAGGCGCCCAAGAATTAAAAGGGTATATGTAGAAAGTACAGTGCAGGCAATGGTTTGTACATCAGCAGGAAGCAGGCGAGCGCAACGAACCATCAAAAACGCTGACCACTTCACAGGTGCAGCGCGGGCGCTGTCGCACCTCAAGCCCTACTCGTCATCCAGAAAACGGCTCGCTATCCTGCCAAAGAATGGGACCTCGAACCTGTGGGAAGGTGACACAGCAAGGTTAGCACGCCATCTTTGGAGAAGATGTGAGGGGGGCTGTTTGCATACCTGTCTAGGATCTCGGCATCGCGATATGCTCTCAGCGTGAGGAAAGCGATGAGGGCCATGTCACCAACGAAGAAGAGCCAGCTCAGAAACGAGGACCAAGAGAAGATGAGGTGGAATATCATGATTGCAGTGAAGAGCAAGGCTGATTGCCAGGCGTGAAATCTGCGCGTGCCCGAGGTCAGCCAACATACTCGACAGGGGCATCTGGGCACCTACCGAACGTAGTCGCTCTTGCGCTCTAGGATGAGCAGCAGGATGGCGCCGAGCGGTGGTAGGGCAAGATATGCAAGGCAGGCCTCGTAGTCGAGTCTGAGGCCCAGACTGGTGTCGAACTCGCTGATTTCGGCGGCAGGGTAGGCACCGGGCATGGCGGCGACGCCGCCGTTGCCGCCGCCGCCGCCGCCGATCCAGGAGCCGGCCTGCGTCTGGCCATCAAAGTCGCCGCCCCAGGCGCGCTGCGGCTGCGGGTGCTGGAGGGGCGGGGGGCTTCTCGCGTTGAGGGCGGCCGAGGGCGAGTACGGTCGCCGGCCTCCGGCATCGTGCGACGGCCGAGGGGACGCGGCGTTGCCGGCGAACTCGGGCGATGCCACGCGCGAGTGCTCTGGAGGCGAGGACTGGTACGGGGCGAAGTCCATGGTGCGGCTTCTGCTGCGCTACCCCCGTCGCATAAGGCGGGAGGCGTTGGCCGAGAGCGCGCCGCGGTCTGGTGGGATATGTAGCGTTTCGACGCCGACGGCCTCGGACGGTTGTATCGCGCCCGATAGGAGCTGGTGCGTGGGCGAGGTCTCGTTGGGCTTCGTGTCGGGCGGGGGTTCGGGACGCTGACGATCAGGTGGGTGACCAACGTCGCGAGGAAGACGATGGGACGGCACGGCAAGCGATCCGACTGTCGCTTGGCAGGCGGCGGCAGTGGAAGCAGCGCGTCTTGGGGGTGCGGGCAGCCGAGTGTGTAATGTATGGTGATGCAAGCTTGGCGAGGTATTGACTTACGCAGGCGGACTTGTCGACACCAGGTTAACGTAGAGCGCATTTTAGCCTCGAGTCGCGGTGCCTTTTGCGGGACGTTCCGCCTGGAGGGAGTGGGTGGAGTCCGCGCCCCAGCATGGCGCCCCCTTCACCCTCACGGGCTACCTCGCCATTCTTGCCTCGTTCAATTGCCGCCTTGAAGGAGGTAATAGGTAATGAAGTAGAGGGTGCACCTAGACCGCCCGGGCAAACTCTCAACTCGGCTCACAACTCGATTGATGGCAATTTACTCGTACACGTTGAGCAAGACGGCAAAGACACTCGTTCCCGAGATGCTGTTGTACAATGGCAACTGCACAGGCTGTCTGGTCCCCCGAAGGTGCTATACCCAATGCATGTGATACACGAACCACCACGCATGCTAGTCTTTCCGTTACTATGTCATCACACGACCTACACGGCCAACCAAGGCCACTCTCATGATTTCGACTCGTCCTCCAGCTGGCCCTTGCGCCCCTCCAGGGTCAGCCACAGATTCCTGCTGCCTCCTTCCAGAGCATTCGTGATGCCCAAACCGGCGCCCTGGAGAATAGCAACGAGCTGAGCGCGCAGCCCCTCCATGCCGCCCTCAATGCCGCCCACCCAGTTGACGCCGGCCTGGTCGAAAACCTTGCCCTCTATCCGCCCACCGACGAGCAACAGCTTCGCCAAGCCGTTCTGGCACGTCGGGTCGTGGTAGCCTGGGTTCCTCTTCCTTGTTGGCGCAGGGAACTTGCCTGGAATCGGGGCAAGGACGCTCAACGCAGCAGCCAGATGGGCTGGAGAGACGGCTGGCATCACCAGAGCCGCCAATGGCCCGACCATGAGCGGTTCGATTTGCGCGTACATGGATTCCGCGGGGATCTGCGTTTTGCGGATAGTCTCATACGCCGCGCGCGACAAGTCGTGCACAAGCGGGCCGCGCTCGGTTCGCGCCGTGAGGGCCGACGCCGCTGCCATTTCCGGGTCGTAGAATTCGACAATCTTCAAAGCCACGTCGAACATGTTGGTGCGCAGAACCTGCAGTTGAACCCGCGGAGAGAGGTCTACCGGGTCCAGCCCTTCAACAGCGACCGCGGCTGGCACAGCAGCCACGGCCTTTTTGACCTCTCGCCTCACCGCCGCCCATTCCACGGCCGTCAGATTGCTGTGCTGGAAGAATAGAACCAGGGGTGTCGTCCGCAACAACGACGTGTACGTCCGGATAAGTTGGCTCTTTCTTGTGTCGATTGGTCGCGCGCTGGGTGGCTTCGAGGCGGGTGCGTAGTCGACGGGCTGCAATCCCGCATGTGTCGAGGATGCTGAAGAGACCTGTGCTGGGCGACCAGTGCCTGTCGAAAACCCTTTAGCCGCGCAAACGGCCCAGGAGGTTCTGGTTGATGCCGCCGCGTCGTGGCACAGTTGCCTTACGCAAGGCCTGGCGGCACGGACCAGTCTTCGAACCATGGCTGCGAGGAATGAGCACTCGTTCGAGATAGGGCCGGGTCCAACTCGCCACTTTATACCTCTTCTTGCGTCGACGCAAATCGCGGCGGTAGTGCTGGGCGATTGCGCCGTGTCATGCAGGCACAGGTAGACCGACAAGGTCCGCGAGCATAATTCTGAGCGCGGCTGCCAGGCAGGCCGGATCAAAGTGGGGCCGTACCGGGAGCAAGGCCTTGCATTGCGCACGGAGAGCAGAGAGCAGAGCTGGATGCTGGTGTGGCTAGTGAGTACCTGAGGCGGAGATCAGCCAAAGTACCTTGTGCCACAGGCGGGGCGTATCGGCACATGTCTTGCCATGCTGCCCAAGTATTTTGGAAGTTCAAGCCACACCGTCGCTGAGTAAGGCGAGGCGGACACCGTCTCCATCGCCACTAGGCTGGCGCTGCGAGATTGCGCGCCATGCTCACTGCCTAAGGTCCAGCCTCGAGGTACCCTTCGCTAGCTCGCACTTGGCCGTCTCGTCATCTGGCAAGCAGCCAACGGTGCCGGTTCAACCTCAGCTCGACCACAACACAGCAATCAAGCTGTCAATTTCACCACCGCCTTTGTCACCGTATCTGTTGCATTCCTTCACCTGCACGGTTTCCCTGTCCATCGTCCTCGGCACGCTCTGAGCAACGCTCGGCTGCTCCCTTGTTCATCCTTCTCCCGACCCCGGACGCCCGTGGGTGAGTCCGACTCTGCCGGCACCATGTCGACACTCGAGGAGCTCGACGATCTCGACCGCAGGGAAAAGGACGATCGCAAGCGAGACGGTGGCCGAGATGACGACCAGAAGAATGGCAAGGATGGCGATGAGGTCATGAAGGACAAGGACGAGGACGACATCCTCGACGACGAGATTCGAAGCCTCAGCACCCAAGACATCCAAACGCGGAAGCGACTGCTCGAAAATGACTCCCGCATCATGAAGAGCGAGCTGTCCCGGTTATCGCACGAGAAGGCAGCCATGGGCGAAAAGATCAAGGACAACGTGGACAAGATTGCCAACAACAGGTATGCTTTTCAATACTTCGGGCATGGGTGAGGCGTGGCAAGAATATGCAATAGCTAATCGTGGGCGAAGACAACTGCCCTACCTTGTCGGGAACGTCGTCGAGTTGCTTGACCTAGATCCCACTGCCGAATCGTCCGAGGAGGGTGCCAACATCGACTTGGATGCCACCAGAGTCGGCAAGTCGGCCGTCATCAAGACTTCGACCCGGCAAACCATCTTCCTTCCTCTGATCGGCCTTGTGGATTCCGACAAATTGAAGCCTGGCGATCTTATTGGTGTCAACAAGGACTCTTACCTCATCCTCGACACGCTTCCCGCCGAATACGACAGTAGGGTCAAGGCCATGGAGGTCGACGAAAAGCCAACGGAGCAGTACACCGATGTCGGCGGCCTGGACAAGCAGATTGAGGAATTGGTCGAGGCTATTGTGTGGCCGATGAAAGAGGCCGACCGGTTCAAGAAGATTGGCATTAAGGCACCCAAGGGTAAGTGCACAGCCAGTCCTTATGCCCGGCCGGTCCGACGCTTGTCGAACCCGTGCCCTCACCCCGAGATGCCAGCCAAGTGCCCTCAGACCATGTCGGGGCAGATGTTTGCTGACCAAGTATGCAGGCGCGTTGATGTACGGGCCTCCTGGGACAGGCAAGACGCTGCTAGCGAGGGCTTGTGCAGCCCAGACGGATGCCACGTTCTTGAAGCTGGCCGGACCCCAGCTTGTTCAAATGTTCATCGGTGACGGCGCGAAACTGGTCCGCGACTGTTTTGCACTTGCAAAGGAGAAGGCGCCAGCCATCATCTTCATTGACGAGCTGGACGCAGTAGGCACCAAGCGATTCGACAGCGAAAAAAGCGGCGATCGAGAAGTACAGCGCACCATGTTGGAGCTTCTCAACCAGCTGGACGGCTTCGCGTCGGACGATCGGATCAAGGTATTGGCGGCCACGAACCGAGTCGACGTGCTGGACCCGGCGCTGCTTCGTTCTGGGCGGCTGGATCGCAAGATTGAGTTCCCGTTGCCGAACGAGGAGGCGCGCGCGCAGATCCTCAAGATTCACTCGCGCAAGATGAAGGTCGACCCAGGCGTCAACTGGGGAGAGCTGGCACGCAGTACAGACGAATTCGGCGGAGCCATGCTCAAGGCGGTATGTGTCGAGGCAGGCATGATTGCGCTGCGTTCTGGCAAGAACAAGATTGGACACGAGCACTACGTGGACGCGATTGCCGAAGTGCAAGCCAAGAAGAAGGACGTGAGTGACAGCAAGAGCGCAGAGGACGACGAATGTGACGAGCTGACCACGGTCTACAGACTGTCAACTTTTACGCATGATGCACCGTCATGTTCAGGCGGGCTGCCCGGAGCTATGGCGTCCGGGGTTATGCATGGCGGCAACGGCAAGACGTGGGCGGACACGGGGAATTGGGGCCGATTGCGCCCGGAGACGGGTCTGTCTGCTAGCAGTTGGCTCATAGACGCGCGAAGTAGACTTTGTAACAATATTGGCGAGATGGGTTCCTGGCGCGCCATGTCCACTTTGCTTGGTTGCTTGAGGCGTTGTTGCTCGAGGCGTGTCCCGGGAGCCATGGTCGTGCCGCGCCGTTCCGCGCCGTTGCCGGACCAGCGGGGCTCCAGCAGGATGTGCATACTATGTAACACGCAGTAATTACAGCCGAGGCCGAGAACGTCAACCGGGGGGGGTTTCCCAGGCTGTCGCCGTGGTCGTTGTCCTCGCACGGGGAGCTCGAACCAAGCTCCATGGCCGGCCGGAGGGTTTGCTCCCGAGGAGGCGTCTCCACCGGGCCCGTTGTGAAGTGAAGCCCAAGGTGGCTTAGTGACGCGTTGGTTTGGCCCAAGCTCACCACTACCACCACACTACGTCATTGTGGCGGCAGCTTGGAGAGCTTCGCGTTGGTCTTTTTGAAAGACATGTGCAAGAGTCTGCTCGCTCGTCCGGCCACTGGGGCGGCCAAAGCAAAAGCAAACCCGACAAGCTATCGTCGGCGAGTCCACGACATGGGCGTCTCTCGAGCCGCAAGCCCCGGGGCGGGCGAACACAGTCGGCGATGCGATTGAAGCATCAAGGCTGCCAGTAGTGCTGCTTCCTCTGAGACTGTCAATCTCAACGGACACTACCAACTGACCAGGAGTCACCCCTGCAACACGCGAAGCGGCACATCGTAGGTACCTACGTACTCAGTACGCGGTAAGGTTAGGATAGCAGGTCTTAGCGCAAGCCCCAGCGTGGGACGCGGTAAACACGTAAAATGTAGGCGGACAGATGGATCGAGATGCGGGGACGGAATCGGAGGCAGTGACGAGGTTGGTTGTCACCCGGCGGCACATTCCAGCCACGGCCACGCTCCGGTGACGACATGGAGGAGGATGGTTCACGTCGGACGGCAGGGAACGAAGGGAAGGCAAGGCGCGGAGGCGAGGTACTATGCAGAGGTAGGTACCGAGCCGCAGCTGCCTCGAAAGCTCGAATCCGCCGCCCGGCCAGGGAATGGCGCGCACTGCGCGGTACCTCCAGTACCTTGGGTACATGAGGCGTGAGGTGGATGGTGGAAGCAGCAGGGCACGGCAACGCATCAAGTGCCCGCCTGCCTCCTCACCTTACCTCGACTACCTAGGTACCTGCCCCCAAGGCGAGGCGAGGCGCCTGCTATCGTCATCGCTCGTCACCCCTTCCTCCTCCCCAGCGATCGCACTTCTACGCCTTTTTTTTTCTTTCACTCTTTCCCTCTCCAACCTCTCCCTCCGTCTGTTGAACCCATCTCCGACGGCAAAAGCGTTTGCCAACCGTCAACAGTTTTCGTGCTTGCTTCCTGCAACGCTCAGCAGACCTGACACTGACCGGCGGTCACCTCCACCATGCGGTGCCTCGCCTCGATCTTGACGGCAGGCCTCGCTGCGTCTGGCGTCGTCGCCAGCAGCTGGTTCCCGGGCTCCAAGGCCGGTGCGTTTGAGCTCCCATCACTTCCCCTGACCTGCTCCCCCCAAGAATCAAGGCCGTGCAGCTGACCCACGTCGCGTAGTCTACAACAAGTGGCATGAGACTGAGCTTGAGCGATGGCTGGCCGATCATGACGTTCCCTACCCGACACCAGCTGACCGCAGGGACTTGGAGTCGCTTGTCGAGAAGAACTGGAACGATTATGTTGTTGAGCCCTACAACAAGTGGGACACTGCCCAGCTCAGCTCCTACCTCAAGGCCAAGGGCAAGGACGCCCGGTCCGACGCCGACGAGGCAAAGGACAGTCTAATCTCTCAGGTCAAGGCCAATTGGTACGAGACCGAGGACGCCGCCCAGAATGGCTGGGCCAGTGTCAAGGACTGGATCCTTGACACCTGGACTGAAAGCCAACTCAAGTCATTCTGCGACAAGCACGGCATTCCGGGTAAGTAGCCTTGTGCGCGCTGTAGTTGTCGGCTCCGCCATCGCCAAAGCTTGAGACCGCTGACCTTCTGAGCAGTTCCCCAGCCCCGACATCGTGATACTATTCTCCAAAAGGCACGTTCCGCCTACGAGACGGTGGCGAAGAAGGCTGGCGAGACCGCAGCCTATCCTGGCGACTGGCTCTACGCTACCTGGTCCGAATCTGACCTCAAGTCTTGGCTGGACACGCATGGTTTCCCAGCCCCTCAGCCGTCGACTCGCGACAAGCTCATTGCATCGGTTCGCCGCAACTCAAGACTGGCGTATCTGAACGCCCAGAGACAGGCTGCCAGCGCCACCGCCAGCGCCCAGGCGGCCTACGCTACGCTTACCGACATGATTATTGATGCTTGGAGCGAGTCCCAACTCAAGGAATTCGCCGACAAGAACGGCATCCCGGTTCCCCAGGGCACCCGGATCAACGAGCTCCGCGCCCTCCTCCGCAAGCACCGTGCCGAGTTTCTCGGAGACACCGTCAACGCCAGCGCCAAGTCCGCCTTTGGTGCCGCCACGTCCAACGCGCGCAACGAGTACGCCAGGGCCACGGATAGCGCCTCTCTGGCGGCGCAGGATGCCTTCAACCAAGCTGTTGGCCTCTGGTCGGAGAGCAGACTCAAGGCGTACCTGGATGCCCGGGGCATCCCCGTCCCCCAACGATCAAACACGGACGAGCTTCGCGCCCTTGTGCGAAAGCATTCTCACAAGGCGTTGTCAGGGTGGACGGCTTGGACCTTCGATGACTTCTCTCGCAAGAATCTCCAGGAGTACCTGTCCAAGCACGGCGACAAGGCGGCCAAGGCCGCCGCCAAGAAGAAGGACGCGTCTCGCGATGAGCTTGTCAAGGCGGCCCAGTCAGCTTACTCGTCGGCATCTACTGCCGGCGGTGCCACGTATGCGTCGGCAACCAGCTATCTCTCGTCCGCTACCGCCGCTGCCAAGGGCGACGCTTTTGACTCGTGGTCGCAATCCGATCTCAAGGCGTACTTGGACAGCTACGGTGTACCAGTACCGCAAGGATCCAAGATTGAGGAGCTCAAGGCTCTGGCACGCAGGCAATCGACTTACTTCAAGCATGGGACATCGTCCCCGGGGGGCACCATCTTTGCCAAGCTTGAAGAGACGGCGAGAGAGGGCTGGAACTGGATTGCGCATCAGCTGAGCCTGGGTGGCCAAGCCGCTCAGAACAAGGCTGCCGAGGCCGAGGCTGCCGCCAAGGCCAAGGCCAAGGAAGCCAGAGAGGAGCTGTGAGCAGGAGCGAGAATGCACTTCCGGACGTATTGGGCGGGCAGAAGGAAAGGATGCACGTGGAGTGGGCCGATGCGTCTGGCCGGGATTGTTTCATCCGCACTGGAGGCCATTCGCGCGGTACGACTCCGACAGGGCTGCTGTAAAGGAGGTCGTGGCCGTCGGGGTTGTCTTCACGATATTGTGTATTCGTTTACTTGCGATGCTGGCGCGGGATGTATGTTTTTTGATGGCTAGAGGGGCTTCCCCGACCGAGCTTTGGATCCGTGATAGGCTAACATGTTCCAAATAAAAAATCGATGGCACGAGAAATAGGTATGAATCAGGCATGAATTGTGAATATCGAGCATGCCTGGAAGGCAATTGCAAGTGGCAATGGGGCAGTAAGTCACTGCGGCAGTGGGCGCCGGCGGTGCGTGTGATGTGACGGTGGATGGTCGGGTTCGGCCCACCAACTTATCCGTTCCTTCGTCACTCGCTCAACAAACTCAACCTTCTCAAACGCGCACACGACTTGCCCTGCGCATCCGCCCTTGAGCCGTCGGCGACCCGGTGGGCGATACAGAGGCTTCGACACGGTGTTGCTCGCTTTCGCCCTTCGATGCCTCGTCAATCCACGCGGCCCTCGCAGAGTTGGGGCAGCATCCTGTACCTGAGAGACCGCGGCTCGCCGCACTCGTCACACTCCTGACGTGGGCACATCGCGGCATACGTGCGCACGTTGCTCTCCGGCACGCGCGCTAGGATACAAGGGCAGATCTGAGGTGAATTTTGTACCCCATTTCGAGAGCACTCGTGAAGGTGCCCGACGCGCGAAACACAAGACGCCGCCATGGAGGAGGTGGCCAGGAGACACTTCTTTCACCATGGCCAAGACGTGAGTTTTACCTTGTTCCTTCCATGAGATCTCTCGCCCCCTCTCCCTCGCCCCCTCTCTCTCTCCCTCTCTCGGCCGCAGTTGTGGCTTTTTTGCTTTCCGTCGTTCCAATCCGCCCCCCCGTCCCTAACCTGAGCCATGCAGAAATACGCTCACGAGCGTGACGACTGCCACTGGTGCCAGCTGCGTCACTTTCCAACTGACCGCAAGGCCCCCGTCACGGTTATGAATGATGTCGACGACCAGGCCCTCCCGCGCGGCTTCCGCTTCATCAACAGCGGTGTCCTTGGTGACGGCGTCAGGCCCGCTGATGAGAGTTTTCGCAGCGGCTGCGCCTGCGTGGATTCGACCAGCTGTCAGTTTGCGGGCTGCCAATGCCTTGCTGAGCTCGACGAGGATAACGATAGCGACGACTGCAGCGATGGCGACGAGGGAGGCGGCCATGTTCCGAGGAAAGCGTACGCCTACCACATGCACGGCGCCAAGGCTGGCCTCCTCAGGTCCAAACTACACAACTCAAAGGTTCCGCTGTACGAGTGCCACCAAGGCTGCTCTTGTGCGCCTGACTGTCCCAACCGGGTAGTCGAGCGTGGCCGCACCGTCCCGCTGCAGATTTTCCGGACCGATGACCGTGGATGGGGTATGTAGACGATGGATCGGTGCCGTCCCAGACGCCCCAGGCTGACCTCTGACAGGTGTACGGACACAGGAGGCCCTTAAGAAGGGACAGTTTGTGGACCGCTACTTCGGTGAGATCATCACGTCTGCCGAGGCTGACCGCCGGCGCGACGCGGCCGCCGTATCTCAGCGCAAGGATGTGTACCTTTTCGCGCTCGACAAGTTTACCGATCCCGACTCACTCGATCCGCGGCTCCGAGGGCCGCCTCTGGAGGTAGATGGCGAATTCATGTCGGGTCCGACACGCTTCATCAACCATTCGTGCGACCCCAACCTGCGGATTTTTGCCCGCGTCGGCGACCATGCCGACAAGCACCTGCATGACCTCGCGCTCTTTGCCATCCGGGACATTCAGCGGGGCGAAGAGTTGACGTTTGACTACGTCGATGGGGTGTCCCAGGACCCTGACGATGAACAGGATGGAATGACGCGATGCCTGTGTGGGAGCTCCAAATGCAGGGGCTATCTATGGTGAAGGGCATAGGCTCCGCCTGGCCGACTCCACAACAGTCCCGGCTTGCCCTGTGATGCTACTCGCGGGCCGTACACGTCACGTTGCAACCCTAGTAATCGCGGCCGGTTCATGTAATTACTTCGCATAAATTATCTACCGGCCCCCTCACGCATCCGCAGCTACGGCATCGGCGCGCCTGCATCGTCCCTGTGCTCGTTTGTCATGTCCACAGTCTGCATGTACCATCAGCTCCGGCACTCAGGCACCACGGATGCTTGGGGTGCCAGTCCACATCGAGCACTCCCAACTTGTTCACAACGGCGTGTCCTCGAAGCATCTTGACCGGGACAATGGTGGCACTTTCCATCAGGTCGCTCACAACCTTGCCATGGAATACCTGCAGCGTTCCGTCGTCGCTCGCATCGGCGAATAACGGCAGCCCCCTATGGTATTTGACTGAGCGAATGGCTTGCCCGTGGAACCTCATTGTCTTGTACGGCCGGCTGGACAGGTCCAGGTCGTGCCACAGCAGCCGACGGTCGTAGGACCCGACGATGAGGTTGTCGCCGCCGGAGTGGACGTCAAATGACGAGATCCAGCGCGCGCCCGGCTGGATCACCTTGACAAGCTCCTGCCTTTGCAAGTCGTAGCACCGGATCATACGCTGGGTGGCGACGAAGAAGAGCGGCCGGGACGGGTGAAATTGGGCCGTCTGAGCTAGGCCCGGTAGACGGCGGAAAGGAATCTGGCTGATGTGTTTTGAGAGGGTATGAATGGCAACAGAACTTCGCTGACCGGTGGGGGAGACGGAGCAGAGAAAGTCACCGCGCCTGTGCCAGTTAAGGGTCTTGATCGCGGCCCGGACGGTCACCTTGAGGAGCACGCCAGCCTCCTCCAACTTAGACCCAGGTCTTGACCACCGAGCCGTGGGCTCCTTGTTCCCGGTGACGGCCGGATTAGCACCGCCATTGGCGGCATAACCGAACCCAGCATCCAGCACATCGCGGCTCGCTTTGTCGACGGCGTCGCTGCACAGGGGCGGAACCATGAAGTAAATGTCTTCACCGGCCGCGGCAGCCAGAATGAAGGACTCTCTGCTCGGTCGCCACCTCACCACATCCACAGGCTCCTCGGATGTGAGCTTCACGCTCCAGTCCTGGTGGCCATTGAGCGCCCACACCCGAACAGTGCCGTCGTCGCCGCCTGAGGCAACCCATTCGCCGTCGGGACTGAATGCCGCAGATCGCACGCGGCCCTCGTGGCCCCTGAATATTGTTTGGCAGACGGTTGGGAATGGCTTCAGGTCTTCTGGTCGAGGGAGCTTGGGGAGCAGAGAGTTGGGGTCAATGTTGAGTCGGTTTTTCCGGATGCGGGGAGCAAGATACAGGTCCAGGCACCGCTCGAATCGCTCCTTGACGAACTCGCCGTAGCCAGGAACCTTGCGCAACGAGTCATACTTGTTTGGGAGGTACTCTTTCTCGCGATCTTCAGGGTCGGCAGTCTCCCACGCTTGCCGCTCTTCGTCGGTGGGCAGGTATTCCGCCGGGGGGTTGTAGCTGAGGTCGTAGCCGGGAGGCGCGAGCTTAGGTGCCGGGATGTTCATGACGTGCGGATCCTGAGGTTCCTCGTTGGCCCAAACGTCGTAATACGTTTCTTCCTCGTCCTCCTTCTCCTTCTCAACTTCTTCGGGTGGCTTGTACGGCAGGATACGACCCTCCCGTATGGCTCGCACGAGCTGGGCTACGCGCTTGGCTTCGTGCTTGGATGGGACAAAGCGGCGTTTCGGCTCTGGGGCTGCGCTGAGCGGCATCTTCTCCTCGATACTAGTAAAGTACGGGACCAGGTCCTGATTGTACGTTGTCAGCCTCACGAACGTTG